GGTGCATACATTCTGCAAACTTGTCAAATTCATGCAATTGTGGGTGCTGGCAGATATGATATCGAAAAGGAATTCAGCAAACGAGCCTTGCAATAGTGAGATATCGAGGCTGATTTATTGGGTCAGGCCTGTCAGATGAGAAGGACGTGCAACATGTCATTTATACTTTGGTTCTGAAAATAACTTTCCACATATGTTCTACCCGTCCATAGAGTTGAAGAAGAAGATTCTTGCCCTTTCCATTGTGTCAATCATGCATGCAGAGTAGATAATCAAAGACTGTCAGATGGACTTTCAACGGTGCGATGATGGTTATTTTGGGATAGTCCGTTGGACATGAAAGTGAATGTTGTATGCATTGAGAACTGGACAAATAGCTTGGCGCAGCGTGCGCACGCAAAACGCAGGCAGGGCAGGGCTAGAATATTATTTACACGTGTGTGTGTGTGTGTGTCAGTGATACCTCTCTTTGTGTGATGTGCTCAGACTAATGGAATTCTCCACTCAGCTTGTGAATCAAATGAAACGGAGATCGAATTGAACACCATCTTTCAATCTTCTTATATCTTGCATTGCCTTACATGTTGCGCCAATGAACGAGAATGATCAAATCATAAACGAAAACGGACAAACTTTGAATGAAGAAGGATTACCGTTTATCAATGTTACAGAACAGATAGCAGAACAGGATGATAGGTTTGGCAAAGGTGTAGTTCAAACTTTCCGACCTACAGAGGAAAAGAGTAAAGAAGAGAGAAAGATATGGATGAATTCCATATTGAATCAGCTTGAACAAGATGAAGGGGAAGAGAACGTCATCCAAAAACACCTTCAAACCGAACAAAATTCTCAAAAGAGTTCGCATACCCGTGTTTCATCTGCAGATCGCCCATTGCCATCAAAATCAGTCTTGAAACATACATTTCACAATGTATCGCCCGATCCAAAATTTGGTGCTTCAGGTATCCGTAAAGGTTTCTTGAATATGAATCCTAGCAGTCCAGCAGCGGAGCATAGCAGTGATCCGATCGAACAAGTACGTTGGATGGCCGCCGATGATAATATGAGTGCTAGTACGAGCTCATTGGGCAGTATGGCAGATCAAATGACAAATGCCGATGAAAGAATGTCAAGAAGTGGAGAGATTGGCGGTAAAGTGAAGAAGAAGAAAAAGAGCGTTCGTATTCAAAGTCCAGAAGGTGTTCGTGAAAGCAAAAGTGTACGAGAGGAATTGGTTGGATCGATACGTGAAACAAAAAAGATCGGAAGTGATGTTGAAGATGAAGGAAACGAAGAAGAAGCCAAAATGATCGTTGAATTATTGGGAATCGATTCGATCAAAGGTCATCCTCAATATGAGTCCATAAAACAGAGCATGAAAGCACAAGAAGATGAAGCAAGACGATCAACCGAACAAGCGAATGCAAAATATCAATCCACAGGCAAGGCCACGGATGGTGTGCCTTCTGTTCGTAAGGAAGTGATCGAACATGCGCCAGGTAAGACTTCTGCATTGCCATCCTCGTCAAAGTCGAGAAAAGATTCAAGCGCATTCAAAATGGGATTCTTGAACGTTAAGCCCAAACAATACACAAAACCACCTTTACCCGCCGGTCCCCAAACCACGCAAGGTATATCTGCTTTGGAAAGAGCGACAAATCGAGATGAGATCATCTCGGAAGAAAGGATAAAGCAAGGTCTCACGCCAAGCGTTCCTCATGCTCGGCCTAGCAAAGCATTTGCAGAGAAACTAGAAGCACGAAAAAGAGGAGGAACGATTTCGAACGAACTTAACGACATCCACACCGAAAATGAAGGATCGGCAAAGATGAGCAAGGTGCGATTTGGAGAAACAAATGATGGTAAAGTTGATGTTCAAGTTGGTACGGCAGCCACAGAAGCTACCAATAAATTTCAAAATGATCCAATGGCCGGAATCGTAGATGATGATAATAGCGATGAAGATGATGTGATGGCTGAATTGGGCTTGGAAGTGTACGATGAAGAGCTGGACGAAGACCAGGTAGACGCTTTAGGATACTTCTCCGATGAGGATGCAGATCCGGATATAGGTTTCGATAGCGATGACATGGTGGAAGCAATCGTTCCGCCGCAATTTGATTCTGATGCTGGTGAAATAAATAATGATGACTTGCGAAGAGAATATGAAAGGATCAAGGCCAGCTTGATGCAGCAAAATGGATTTCACCCGAGCAAATTATCCGAAGGGCAGAAGAGCGGAGAAAGCTCAATGCCAACCGATGATATGGAGGGATTAAATGACGGACAAGATTTGAGCTTGATCGAGGAAGGCGCTGATCAGAACGCAAATATGAGCCGATTCCGAAGAGAACGTTTACATCGTGCAATGATGGGTAAGAAAGCAACCTCTCGTGAATTAGGGACAGGATCATCGTCTAGCACCGATGATCCGAGCGCTGCTTTACGAAATGCACACAACGTTGGTCCTAGCATGCTGATTCCTGCTTTGGCTAACGTTCGCTTTCCTAAACAAAAAGAAGATGGAACGATCCCCACTTCCGCAAATGAAATTGAACTTGACGGTCAAAGTGATGAAGAAGAGGACCGTTTGGAAAATGTTATGCGTGCTAGACTAGAACAGAGAGAGTTGAACAAAGAAGAAGGCATGAAGCAACAATCGGCTACGGAGCATAAGCCTCCCGAGGTATTATCTACTTCGGTTCACAAAGAGAATCCGCCCAAAACTGCAAAAAAGACTTCACTTTTCAAAGCACGCATGCAAGGACAATCGAACGAGTGAATTCGTCTACATACAGTGTGTACTTGGATGCCTAGCTTGCTATGCTGGTTCTCTCGGTGTTTCGTATACAATCTACAATTATCATGTATTATATTTGTCAATCAATTGCTTCGAACCAATAATCGCTTGATTATCTCATGAACAGATCCTGCCATTCTGATGAGGTGAATAGCGATTTAGTCTCATCCTTAGATGGCAAAGGTGTCAGAGTCGTTTTTTACGTTGTCCAACTTGATTCTTTTGTTCGATCGCAGACAGATACTGCATTCACATGGACTCCAATATCTGTCGATATCCACTTTTGGCGCAGGAAGATCTTTAAACTCCATGAGAGGACCAAAAACGTTTTCAGTCACAGTTGTTGCTTCTGTAAATGACGTACAATATTCCAAATCTTGGATCCATTCTTTACGTTCGTCAACCGTCAGATCTTCTGGCTTCATGGGACGATCACCGAACTCATCCAAATACTTTGCTCTTGCAAATGCCCAATAATCATATCCAGAGGCTGATTCTTTGCCGTAAAATTTAGCCATCCTTTGATCCATAGCACGCACAACGCCTTCAGGGTAAGTTTCCTGCAGCCAACAATCGTAATTGAAGAATTCTGCAGAGCTGGCAAATGAGCTGAGATAGATGTAGATGAACTCATCCGTCCTGAACAGCTCGACTGCAGCAGGGCTACGAGCTCTGCTTTTGATTGGCCAGATTTGAAGGCGACCACGAATACTACAGAGATTTTGCATACTTTGCAACACATCATTATGGTGTTCGTGACATACATAGGGTCCAAAAACGTGTTGAAACAGTTGCAAAAGAACTGGAACATCAGTCGGACTCTGCAAAACTGCTACTTGAAGCAATTCCAATTGCGCTTGCGTTGGCTTTCGATCCCAATCATCTAGGGAGGCATGAAGCCCTTCACTTACCCAATCAGGGTAGTAATCTCGTCTTTGAGTTCCTTTCACGATGCGCAATGCAGTCGATTTGGCCTTCGCTTCTTCATTGTCAATGCAGAAAATGGGATTGATCTTACTGTGCCCGTCTGTGTCATCATGTGCTACGTCGCTTTGAGCGCGCTTCTTGCCTCGACTGTTTGGTAAAGTCCAGTTTTCCTGTTCGTTCTCTTGATCCAACGAGGAATCTTCTTGCTCTTCCAAATTTTCAGTCTCAGAATGCGAGCTTTCGTCATCTTCTTCAATTTCAGAGGTGGCTGTGGAAGAATAGGAGTTGATGGATTGAACACCTTTGATGAGCATACCTTGCTCCGAATCTTCTTCCATGGCTAATGGTGTATCAGCTTTTTGTGCTTTACGGCAATTAATTTGCACGTCTGTTGAATCATTTGAAGATGCCTCGTCTTCTTCGATCCCATCTCCATGAGCGCTACTTTGCACCTTTTCTGAAGAAGCAAATGACACAGGTTGTGAATGACCTTCGTCTAAGTCTTCAACTGCATCACGTACTTGAAAAACGTTGTATGCATCTTCCTCAGCTTCGATGGAAGCTTCTTCTTCGATCAATTGGGGACTTTGGTATCGAGTGTGTGCCGAATGTTGATTATCGTATGAGCGTTCTTTCTCTTTGGATGATTTGTCTTCAAATATGCTCAATTTCCCTTTTGTCAAGTCCAAGCCACTATCATCAACGGTATTGATCGGATTATCTTGAGAATTTTGGGTAAGAATGAATTGATTGACCATATCCTTCACTTCTGCATCGTTTCTGTCAGCATTTGAGATGCATTCATCTGACAATTGATTATTTTGAATTTCAGGTGAGATGAAATCGTTTTCGTTTTTTTGTTCATTCATGATCAAGTTAAAATCAAATGAAAATGATGTAGGAAAGGGAAAGATTGAAATGAAAAAAGCATTCAATGCAAGTGCCTTTATTCTGAGTTGTACTTTTACCAATCTTCCGTTTTGCTCAGCAATGCAATAAAGACTGATTTTATGCGCGATTTGATGGGAAGAAGGTGAAAATATCACCGGAAGGAAGTCTTCATAAGAAAGGAGGGGAATAATTGAATTGCCGTCATGTCATGCAGCGCACGGACGTAAGATTTAATAGAAATGATCAATTGATTTCTATTCTGATTTTGATTAAAAAACAATCTTCGGCGCCGAAAAGGTATATGTGGTGGTGTACATGTTGTGACTATGAATGCGTCCAATCTTCTTCTCCTCTCAAAAACCTAAATGGGTACGTAATTCCTCTTCTATACCTTTCATATCTTTCTCATCTTCAACATCTTTCCCTTCTGATCGTAATTTGTCTTTTCTTTCTTTTTCCAATTGATTTAGCATATCCGCATGCTCTTTTCGCTTTTGGATCTCTTGTTCTTCATTCACGTCCACTTTCCATGATCCACTTTCCATCTCTTTCTTTTCTTCTTCATCCATACCGTTCAATTCATCCAAACATCTTTGACATTCACACGGACCAAACATATATTCTCGCCAAAGTAACATCCTCCTTCTTGATAATTCCAATGATGGATCTTGATACGTGATCACTAACTCATCTCCTTTTCTGATATCCTTTTTGGCCAAAGCTGTGATCTTTGTTGCTTGACGTACTCCATGTCTTGAGGGCGGATGACGAATGGATACATTTGGTAAACAAGAATGATTTAAATGACTATGGACGAGATACATTCCTCCTTGTGCTTCGGTATTGATATTCGCACGGCCTAACAGCAAGACAAAGTTGTCCCAAGTAAACAACCTTTCCGCAACATCCACTGGAAAATCTCTCCATAGCGGCCACTTTTTCCTTTCTATTCGTGGATCCAATCCTTTGCACAACAACGAATGCGCTTCTTGCATACTGGTCAAAAACGCTGATCGTTCCACCTCCCATCCAGGATTACGTGCTCTTCGTTCCAATTCCGAAACGGTAGCGAAGGCATCAAAGTGAGACATCATCTCTTCAAGCGACGATTTGGGTTGTTCCTCTGTTCGTTTGTTGTTTTGTGACGTATTTAAACTGGCCGGAGCGTGATTGGAGTGTGTCAATAAGATCTTTGCCAACGTTTTTGAGACAATTGCAAGCGAAAGCCATTTTTGTATTGATAAAAACTTATTGAAAGGCTTTATGGAGGGGTTTAGACCTGGACAAAGGATGGCATGATGTGCAGATTGTGCTCTAATTTGGCATAGTCTTGTGCAAAAGCGTGATTCGCAATCTTTTTGACCGCATCGAACGACCAATGAACCGGCCAAAGGAGCGAAACAACTTGCACATAATTCGCCTTGTTCCACTTGACGCATAGCTTGTGAAGGAGCAGAAGCAACGAAAGCATCTTCGTTGAAGATCGTTTGTCCTTCCTTGAAATCTCGATCGGCAATCAATCCTTTACCTTTTATACGATCAAAATAAACGGCTTTGATTCCATCTGAAATGTTTAGAGATGCGTCCAAATGGGATAAGGGTACATGTGAAGGTACGTCGTCCTGTTTTCCGTTCGTTGAAGGTTTTGATTGACGTAAATTAGCTTTGACTAATATTGTTTTTAATCTCTTTTCGCTCAGAGACCATTGATTTTCCGTTTGCAATTGTGCTAGTAATTTTGCTATACCTAAAGTAGGTAGCTCATTCAATTTGATTCGAGATGCTTCAACCACTTGTTCTTCAGATGGTATTTGTTTTTCCTTTTCTGTGACAGACATTATTTTGTTTTGATGACAAGATGTCGTGTGAAGAAGGAAAGAGTTCAAATTTAACATTTCTTCTTGACAGATTCAAAAAAGCGCTAATGCGCGATTGCAATCACGTTTTTCCGAGCACTTGAATTTATGAAGAGGAACGGGCTTAACGGAATAAAGGACGACAAGAAGGTTTATCGTCTTTCAATCTGGTCACCATCTTCATTTCAAACTAAATTCAAACAATGGCTTCAAAAAAGAGACAAGAAAAGCCATTCAATTCACTATTTGCAGGTGCTCTTGCAGGTGCAATTGAGGGTTTTGTCACTTATCCTACCGAGTTCGTTAAAGTGAGTAAAGAGAGATGATGGTCTTATCATTACAGATACAAATAGGGATCAGAGCTGTGTTTCTGTCTAGCCGGCGGTCGGAACCTGATCTCAGACCTATATTCTATGCTCTACAAATCTTCATCGGCACGCTTATACAACGCTCTTCCTTCTGTGTTCAGACACAAGCACAATTTGCTGCATCGCAAGGTCAAAAGCCACCTGGTCCTATTGCAATCATTCGAAATACGTTGGCTCAAAATGGGTTTCGTGGTTTATATGCTGGCTGTTCGGCCTTGGTTACAGGAAATGCGTTGAAAGCTGGAGTACGTTTTTTATCATACGATAGTATCAAATTGGCGGTTGCCGATAGTAAAACTGGACAACTTTCATTACCTCGTTCGATAGCTGCTGGCTTCTTAGCTGGCTTATGCGAAGGTGCTTTTGCGGTTACGCCATCTGAGGCGATCAAAACTCGTTTAATTGAAGATGGAAAACGACCTAAAGCTGAACGACATTATAATGGTCTCATCAGCGGATCTGCTGCAATCATACGTAAAGAAGGTATCTCCAGCATTTATCGTGGCCTTGGTCCAACGATGATGAGACAAGGAGCCAATTCTGCAGTCCGATTGACAACATATTCTGCTTTACGTACAATCGCAACAAAGGATGGCCGTAAACCTGGAGCGATTGAAACTTTTGCAATGGGTTCGATAGCAGGAATCGTGACAGTATATACAACTATGCCTTTTGACGTTGTTAAAACTAGAATGCAATCTGAAAGGGCAAGTCAATATCGTGGCGTTGTGGATTGTGCAGTTCAGATTGCAAAAAATGAAGGAATACGAAATTTTTGGAAAGGAACGACGCCTAGATTGGTTCGATTGATCATGAGCGGAGGAATTGTGTTTAGCATTTATGAAGCAACATTGGATGCTCTAAATGCTTTAGAGAATAAAGTTGACAAGGATATTAAGCCAAAAGTCAAAGAGACTGTTTCGACAAAGTGAAGTAGTAGAGGCATATGTATTAGTCAAATGATAGATAGAATGTGATCATAACTATAATCGCGATCAAGAATCGATTGAATGTCAAGTATAGAAGCCGAAAAGCCAAATGAAAGCTCTTTGTCCCGATGCCCTTCCCCAGTAGAAGAACAATGCTTTTATTGCATTTCGTACGATATGAAGGTAAGCGGGTAGGATGCCACAATGCAACAATCTGCATCCATTCATGGTAATTAGCGTTAAACCTTAATTGGTTGTTGGTAAGACAAATTGACTAAAGGCTACGCCGTGAGTGGAAAGATGAAAAGTTATTTAACGATTTTAGCTGCAGAAAGTATCTTTGCACTTTATTCATTCTGAAATTTGGGCACCATCACAGCCAATAATTGCCCAAAATAAAAGGGGGGGGGGAGCGGTAAACAGTCAGAGCATTACGCCGATTCGCATACTAACTTAAACAGGGTCATCAATATAGTCAATTTAGAAAACACACCATCTTGCCGTTTTCATTTATCTAGATCAAGGTAAAAATGCCGTTAATTAGAGTTTTATGGTCTATTCATGACACTTTTATCAAAGATCTCAACAAAGGGATCATTGCTAAATCACACGCTAATGGATTGGCAAATGTGTTGGGTTTAGGTAGGTAAGTTTTAAGGTATATATGAAAGGCAGAAGGGATTATACAAGAAGTAAGTGGTACCACTTTCTAAGACATTTAACATTCTAAAGCCTATATAAACATGCTTATTGTATACCGGTCGCTTATATATATACACTTATATTGATTGTATATAGTGAATTCCCACTTTCCCTTTGTTCTTTTTAAGTAGTCGATTAGACTGACATTGTACAAGAATATATCTTTATAACACTGATCTTTTACACAGAAACAAAGAATTACATGGTAAGACGAATCATAAATCTATGATAATCTTTTATGGATGTATGAATGGGCATTTGCTTATATCATTTCCTGCAGCTTTATGACCGGACATTGTCAAGCATTTTGGACCGATCCCAATTTTTGACTGCATGACGCTAGGCGAAGAATATCTTTTTTTTTGTTGTTGTTTAAACGCGCACGTCCTAAAGTGCATACAAATTAATTAAAAGATAGAAAGCCTGTATTCGTTCACTATATAGAATCAGTCAAACCTTGCTTGCATATGATCAAAATAAAAAGAAGAAATCAAAAAAAAGGCATCATCACACTGCCATTCAGATAATGCATTTTGCTGTAGTACTATAACAGTAACAACAAACAGTGAGGGTACAATTACCATTTCATTCCAAAAATACATCCATTACCTTTTTTATTGTTTTGTACGCATACATTCTTCTTAATCTTCTTTTCATGACCATCATCGATTTGCAAATTCGTTCAACTTTCTCATTGCGTCATTGGTGAATAGTTCAAAAGGCTTGATTGATTCAGTCTCAAATACTGGTAGACCGATCTGGTATCCGGTGTGATCGAAAGAAGAAGGAGACAAAGATAACGATTAACGAGACAGAAACGATTTTCATCCAAACTCATTTCACCCATTCATCCATCTAATTCTTGGATCGCCATCGCCTTTGTTTTGTAATGATCTCTCGGTTCATTCTCGGCTGACGCCAATCAAGGGTACTCATTCGGTCATCTTCGGCAACAATACGCGGCGATCGTGTTCAAATCGGCACGCATTCTTGGCTGAACATCAAACGGCATTTTCTCATCACACAGAGCAAGGTAACATCTAGATCCCTGGACGAGAGCATTCAAAGTCATATATTGGGTGGAGATATAAGGATCTTGCAATGTAAGTTTCAGTAAAAGAATGAAGAGGAAGAGAGATGGAAGAGTATAATGATCAATCCTCAACTTTCTTTCGGTGGTCAAAAAGGATTCAGTGTTGGCTGAATGTGAAGCGCCCCGTATTGATTTGCGTAAGAAATCCATGAAGACAACATTGAGGGAATGGCAACCATGAAAGCGGTACGCTTTGTATGTCATTCATCTTTTGGACGAAGTTCATTTGCCTGCTCTTCACTTTTGGCGCTCTTGCCGAAATTATGTGTTGTTCTGTCGTCTTGGTTTGGCTGAATGCACTGCCGAAGTGACGTGATTTGATTGACGGAGTAAAACGAGTAAACTCTGTACCGAATACTTACCTAGTTCCTCTTTTTTACCCCGTTACCCAAACTTTTCATCATGTTGCCTTTCCATCTCACTCTCTTCCATCTTCGATCTCGACTTTCGTTGGTTCATTACACTAGTTCAACGAAAATATGGCCGATACTATCGAGAGCTCCTTTCAAGGCTACGTGTGAGTATTGTATGATTTGTCCATTTTCTTTGCACCTTTCTCACTCACCTTATCATCTACCCTTTCTTATCAAAACAAAAGATCAACTACCCATGACGCTCTTTTGATCTTTGAATGTGTTCGACGAGGGGTGATGCCCAAAGTCAAGAGGAGGTTACGTGATGATGAGCGAAAGCTGATAAAGAGCGGACAAGTGTTTGTATTCGATGAGAAAGAGAGCGGAATAAAAAGATGGACCGATGGGCTTCTATGGAGTCCAAGCCGAATTTTGTTCAACTTTCTCGTTTATCGTCAAGTGGAGAAGAAAGCAAATACAAACACAACAGCAGCAAGACCTGGATCTCAACAAGATATCAGCTCACCTTCTATTACACAAAATCCTAGCTCAAGCGGATCAACAGAGCATCTCAATCCACTTGCTTTGGGTGCAATCGGCTTCGCAGATCCTTCTTTCTCTTCGCCTTCCAATATTGATTCCAATCCAGAAGCCAATCGGATGCGATCATCAAGTGCGGCATCCGACTCATATGCAGGCTGGGAATCCCTTTCGATGCTTGAAGGCTTCAATGTTGCCCCACACTCAACATCTTCTGGAAATGCCCAAACGGGCGTGATAGGTCAAAATGATGCAAGGACTGATAGAAGTTTGGTAGGAAGCCTAACAACTTCTTATCCTTTCGCTAAAGGCGGTTTGTGCAAGAAAACTATTTCCATTCAGGTAGAAAATTCGACACAACATTTGATTTCCTATTACACAGTAGAAGATGTTCGTTCAGGACGATTACGAACGCCCTCTTCTTTACCTGAGATTGCATCTTTGGCTATCTCGCCAATCTTTTTGACGAAAACTTCTTTTCGTTTTCCACCCTCGATACGATATGGTTTAGATGGAATACCGCGATTCGATGGAGAAGATGAATCAACCCTTCTTCCGCGAAAGGATGGCCAAGAATCCAGCGGTGAAGGAACAAGCTCGGGCAGCGAAGCACAACAGTTTCGAAGACAACATCAAGCCAGACCACATTCGATGCAAGGTCATTCACGCGGAAGATCATTCGGAAGTGGTACATCGAGGGGACGTGCAATGACCTTGGCAGGCCAAACACAAGGTCAAACTCTTAACGCAATCGTTTCTTCCTCTTCACAGCCTTCGATCAGAGCTCCACCACTACCGCATCAAATTGGAGGTTCAGGAAATTTGACTTCTTCCAGGAGATCATTTGACGCAATTTCTAGATCGGCTAGAAGTCGCTACGAACCTTATCCTGGAAGTGCAATAGGAACAACATTCTCTGGTCTCTCAACGCCACAGTATGGACAAGATCAGCAAACATTTCAGTCAATCAGACAGCAGGATCAATTACAAAATGACTTTTTTGGTTCGGCGGGAATGCAAAATGGAGCTTTACGGATTGGTGATGAATCGAATGGAATGTTTAGTACGATGAGCATGTCTCCTTCGCCAACTGGGGCGTCTATATCTTCCATGATGCCACCACAACAAAATTTCGCAACTACTGATCACGCAAATTCGGCAATCTTTTCTGCATTTCCAGATTTGAATTCGTTTGATGTTCAATCGACACAACCAATGAGTTTGACAGGCATGCATAATCAATGGCAAGACGATACACTAACGAATCAGCCGTCATTTATTCCGATGGGCTCTTCTGATCCCTCAACACAACAGCCATTCTCGTCTTTGCAACAATCATCTGTATCGCGCGCACGTTATCCGACAAATAACATGCAAAATGCAGGAATTGGGTTCGATGTCGATCATGATCAGCAACAGCAGCAACAGATCCCATTTAGCATGGCTAATGAAGCGCAGCCTGTCACAGCATCTAGTGGTACTGGAGCTATAATGTTTCCCTATAATCAATTCACAGAAACTGACAACTTACAAGCTTCGGGTATGCCATCTGATCCTTTGACATCACCCTTTGCAAATTCAATGACGACTGGTGACGTATTGATCCATGAAGGAAGGCTGCCTTCTCCTAGGAAACAAAACCTCCATAGAGCACGGCAATCGCAACAATTGCAAGAGCATCTTCGACAACATCATTCACGCCAACCGCATTTTCAATATCAACAATTTCATCAAGAATAAGGACAAGCACAATCGCCAAATCAGAATTTGCATGGGCAGGCCCAAACTTCGTATTCTGGAATGGGTAGCATCTTTTTGTCAAAGCCAGAACAATGAGATTGACTACTTCACATTCTGATACTTGTTTTCATATTACGCTGGCAAACTTTTACGACAAGGACTTTCCCCTACTTTTGAGCGTCACCAAACATCATTCTTCACCCATCTTCATTCTTGGTTCAACCTTCTCATTATGTTTTTGCTTCAACCTCATCCAAATCCTTGCTTTTTCAATTTTGGGCCTTATTCTCTTCCTCCGATGTCATCTGATACAGATCTTGCATGTATTCTCACAACTCAACATATACAATCGTTTACAAGCTGTAACAACAGCATTTCATTCTCTACCTTGAGCATACGCAAAATTTGTATGTACTACTACTAGTGTACTAATCAAATACATTCTTTATCATTTTACGCCGTTTCTTTGTACATCTTTATCGTCTTATCTGCACCTCCGGTCAACAGACGTGTACCCGTTTGATCAAAAGAAGAACAAAAGATTCCTGCTTCGGAGTCTAAAGAGCCTGGTTGAGGTATATCCAACGAGGATTGGAACGGCACGCCAGAATCATAATCGAAAAACTTCATCGATCCATCATCGCCTCCAGAAAACAAAACGCCATCCGGATTCACGCTGAGGGTGTTTACGATACTTTCATGTGTCATGTTGTTCATTAAAGTGCCTTCAGGGCATCTCCATGTTTTAATATTTCGTCCGCCTGATGAACCAGAAGCAAAAGAAAATTGCTGTGGATGTGAGGTTAAAGCACGAACGGACTTCTTGTGATGTGTTAAAGTAGATATCGATTTTCCTGCTGCCAAATCCCATAGTCGAACGGTAGCGTCCATACTTCCAGTTATCACTTGTGGATCACTTTCTTGACAGATTATACTAGCAATCGTACCTTTATGACCGGAAAGAACGTGAATTTGTGCTTTCGTTCGCATGTCCCACACACGTGCCACAGCATCTCTTCCAGCAGTGATCAAAACATCCAAAGTAGGATGTAAGGCTAAACAATATACACCCGACAAATGACCGTGATATTGACGAATGACCTTGTTCGTTTCCAGATCCCAGCATTTGACCATCTTATCTTCACCGCATGAAAACATGTATGGATGACGAGAAGATACTGCCAAGCCACGAACGGTAGAGATATGACCTGTCAAACTCAATTTCAATTCGCCCGATGCCAAATCCCATATTTTGATCATCCTATCGCCCGCTCCTGTCGCAAACCATTTATTATTCGGCTCAACAGCAATGCAACGTACCCAGCCCAAGTGACCACTTATAACCCTTGAAAGTTTCCATTGAGGATGGAAGGTCGGCTTGGCAATCCTATTTGCTGCATCCTTCTTTTTTACCAAAGCAGAAGATAATAAACTTTGACTGGTTGTATTTGTTTTATTCTCTTCATCCGGCCTTCTTAATGCAATAACACCGTTTTGCTCACTTATTTGCTGATCAAATGCGGATGTAGTATTGTGTGTTTGGTATCCTGTTCCTTGAAGGTCGTCAATATAGCTTTCGGTCAAAGAAGATGGGATACTCGAAGGCGCTTTTCGCTTTTGTCCGACCAATATCCGTGTATCTTCTGCATTTTGCGATGGCTTTGATGGATTCGCATTCGCTTGTTGTGATAAAATAGAATTTGGAAGTTGTTTGGCATCTTGATATTCACTTTTCATTTTTGCCGAGAGTCTTGATTTCAACATGCTCTCATAAGGATCAATGATTGATCTTGAAGATGTGAAAGGTGACAATGCAGATGATTCATCATTTTGAAATAAATACTTTGTCTTTTGTGATGCCAAAAGATTCGGAAGTTGCTGTAATGTGACCTTGGAAGAGGAAGCTTGTGCTTCGTTCGAGGTGTTTGCCATTATTCCAACTTTGAATGATCGATGTAAAGAAGATGGAGGTGAATCTGTTGGTCTTGGAAGAATGCACTTTTTTTGTGGCTTTGCACGTGATGTTACGCGCTATTTAATCATATTCATAGCTTGTGCAAGCCTTTAATCGTAGCGTAACGCGCCATAACTTTTTAAATTCCCGCGTCAACATTCAATTAAGCAACACTTGCAGCCATCATCATTACGATTGCTCGTAATATCTCTTGCCTCTTTAAATCTCCAATAATCACATTTCATCAATCACTACAAGATACATCAGACTTGATGAACGACATCTTTCGGCAAGATGGAATTTTCGCAAGATGAAAGCGAAGAAGTAAGCAAGCTCAAAAAACAACTCGTTGAGGAACGAATGCATTCATCGCAATTACAACATACACAAGTCAAGCTTATAGAAGAAAACAAAAATCTCAAAGACAATTTGAAACATTTTCAATCTTCTTTCGATGAAAATGCAGCCAAATTGGATCGAGCAGAAAGAAATCAAGAGTCAATTCGAGATGAACGTGATCGATTCAAATTGAACAGTGATAATTTAGAGCAAGCTTTATCGAAAGCCAAAAATCAATTATCACAAAAGAACAAATTCGATCGATTGGAAGATGATGTAAGAGTAGATGTCATGAGCAGACCCGAAAAGGAACTCATTCAAGAGATTGATCAATTGAAAGAAAAGTGCAAGGCGCTCGAAATACGATTGAATGATGTACAAGTGATGGCAGATGCGGGACCCTCTTCTATTGGGTCAGACGCAAAGTATGCATCCGCCAAACTACTCTCATTGGAAAATGAAAATACGACACTCAAGGCTGATAACCAAAGATTACGTCAGGGCAGCACAATGATAATCTCCGATTCAAATCCAAGCAATTTTGCAAGTGAAGAACAACACTCGCGCGAATTGATCACTAAACTGAATCAACAAATCGCAGCTGCCAAAGAGAGATCTTTACGATTTGAACGTGAAGCCCTGATTGCCTCCAATGAGCGTTTGGCAAGCGAAAAACGAACAAAGCATGTGATCCAATCACTAGAAACTGCGCGCGATGATTTGAAGGATGAGGTGAAGCTACGTGAGGCTCACATCAACGAACTGGAGAAACAATTGCAAGGCATTCATACTTTGTTGGACAAGGAAATTGACTCGCCTTTCAACGAGATAGAGGGAAGGATACGTAATTTGATTCAAGATGGCAAAGATGTAACATCTATACGTACAATCTTGATGAAATGGCGAAGCGATGACATACGTGTAGCAAATAAAGCAGAGTTGCCAAAGTCAGTCAGCGATCTAGCAGCCCAAATCGTGAAAGCGTACTTAGAGCTGGACATCGCTTATCAAACAATGAAGAAAGCTGCAGAAACGAATTCGCTCCTTGTCGAAGACCTACAGAAAGAACTGCAAAAATCATCACAAGCTTCTAAAGCGCTCAAAAAGCGCGAGAAAGAGATGGTGAAAGCCAAGGGAAGATTGAAAATGTTGTCCGGATCCCTGCAAAAAGCTCTGCCTTTGGCTGCTGGCTTGCAATCCGTTGTGGGTGATGCTAGCATAAGTGGAGCAGGAGGTGTATCATTTTCAGCGATCGGTGATGAAACAATCGCTGGAGGAAATGAAAGTACGTTAGGCGGCTTACGTGGATTTGAAGCAGATTTAGTAGATGAGATGGAACAATTGATCACGTATGTGGAAGATTTGGATAACCGATTGGAGTTTCAAAGAGTTGAACAAGAGATTAGAGAGATGAGTGCAATAAGCGAGCGAGACAGATTGAAGAATGAACTTTCAGTCTTGGAACGAGAGTATCTGGAAGTCAAAACGTCATTACAAGATGCAAATCATGGCCATCAAGTTGAAGTACATCAATTGCAGGAAGAGAAGCGAATAGCAATAGAACAGGCCGAGGATGCTTATTCAGTAGCGAAACAGCAAGAGGAATCTTGCACTCAAATGGAGAAGAAGCTTGCTCATCATGAGCTACTTGCCAATCAGGATATAGAGAATCTGCTTCAACTTTTGGACAGATACCAACAAGTACTTCAGGATGAAGGCTTGAGATGGCAAACCATGTCAAAAGTTCAATCGATCGATATGACCCAATTTGCTGCTGATCTCATCAAGAGAAGTGCAGATTGGGATTCTTCGCAAAGGGCAGTAATTGACATGGAGCGTGAAAAAGCTCGTCAACTGGAAGCTACGTTGTCCGATCAACAAGAGAGATACGAAGTAGAGAAACAAAGACATGAGACTAAGAGTCAAGCTTTGATCATCTCGATGAAAGAAGAATTGGAGTATTGTAGAGCTCAAATTGAGGAAAGAGCACAAAAGGAGGAAGAGCAGGCAAAGATCGTTGCACAAAATGCGTTGCTGCTCGCGGAATTACGAGAAGAAATTGCAAAAGAACGTACAAAGGCTGAATCACTTCAACGAGATTGGACAGCCTTCGAAGCTCAATTATTGGAAGACAATGCAGTCAAAGATCGAAAACTTGAGGAAGCGCAAACTGAAATCAATACACTTACAAATCGCGAAAATGACACTTCAAGCACAGCAAAGGAGAAAGAGATGACTGAAGCCTTATCTATTGCACAAAGCACGATTGAACATTTAGAGCATGAATTGGCAATCAAAGCGCAAGAGTGTGAAGATGCAGACGACAAAGAGATTGCACTACGCAAAGATAATAAGCGTTTGCTATCACGGATTGCTACAATGCAAGCTCGCCTTGAAAAGTTACAACAACCCCAGTTCCAGCAAAATAAAGCACTGGATACAGTGCCTTCCAGTGTTCCACCTTCAAGTAGCTCAGGCAGTCTGAAGCAATCTCATCCGACCAAATTGTCGAAAGATCAACCTGTCACACGAAAGCGACGTAACTCGGACATGGAAGAAAAGCAGGTCAATGGCGAGAAAACATTGAGTGGGAACACAGAAGAACTGCCTTCCTCAAAAGTGGATCGCGCATACGTCTACGCTCCCGGTCCAACGTCAATGACACTCAATGCAAGTCAGCGAAACGCTCGAGATCGTTTTAGTCCCGCTTTCAGTGCTGGTCAGCACCATAACCATGCTATCGGGAAGAACGCTGGTGCTACTCCAATTGATGAGATAAGCTTTAAGCAGAAGGGTATTCCTTCAGAAGATAGTACGATCAATCCTCCTTCTTCTGCAGCCGGATCAGATGCCTTGAATCGGTCACAAGGTCGGTCCGGCGGATCATCAAAGCCAAGTGATTTGGTGGCCTTGCGGTTGCAGCAAAAGATAGCCAGTCAACCTAGTACCACTTCCGTTCTCAACACAAGCACACAAAGTCTCAATCCAGCCCGAATCAAAGATCGAACCAACAAACCTCGTGAAAATGTAAATGTCAAAGCAAACTTTAATTCTTCACAAAAAGACACTATCCAAATACAAAAAGCTTCGAACGATAACGATTTTATGACAAAGTTGAATCGATATCGAACACCATCTAATGGATTCTCAGGAACTACGTCAACTACAATGCAAGATCATTCTCGTCCACCTTTGAGAGGGTAATCGTGCACTTTCTCTCTTTTTGACAACATCTGTACAATAGCACGACTGCATCATTCATACTCCTTTGGACCTGTTTTATAGTAAATCAATTATCAATGTAATCTACACCTGCAATTGTCGTACGAATGAGAGAGAGGAAGAGGAACAGATCACGACAAATCTTAATGATTACCCAATCGTAAGTAAGAAAGACTGATGATCACTCATCTCGTACATAATTTCCTGGGAAAACGCCTTGTACGCCATTCAACCTTCCTGTCCACCAATCTTCAGTGCTTGCGGTCTTTTCCACAACTTCGATACGATCTCCTGCATTAAAAGTGAGATCCCCTTCTGCTTGTGCTGCATAATCATAAAGAGCAACAACGTATTGAATTGCCGGCTTAGCGGCAACGCCAGGCTTTCCGGGAATTGGCGGTGGTGCTCGTTTGGTGGTGGCAGCAGCAGCAGCGGTAGATGCTCCGCCTGCACTGTACGATGGCGGCGGCGCAGCGGATGTGGTTGATGCAGATCTTCCTAAGCTTGCCTTTGATCCCAAAGTAGATGTTGGGCTTCCAGATCCTGCGCCGGAACTTGATCGTGCTTGTTGCAATAACCTTGCTGATGGCATTGCTGGTTTTCGAATAGTCAATGCCTCTAATCGTTCAGAAGCATCGTTTAATTGTGAAACGTAATCTTGTTCTAAACGAGCAACACTTTCTGCCGAGATGTCGTACTTACCATTGGCAAAGTTTTGTAACTTGTCCAAAGTTAAATAGTACACATTTAGTTGCATGTAGTAGAACGAATGAAACAAGGGTGTCATGAATCGGGTCGCCATTTCGAAAAATCTTGGCAATTCTTCCTTCATCAAATTGTTATAATGCTCGTAATCTGCAGCAGCCGTTTCGTAATCTTGTTCAACCTTGAACAGATTTTGTTCATCTTTGAGAGTCTTTTCCTTCTTGTCGCGCAATTTGGTGTATGCATTATTGTGACGATCGTAATCAACCAATTTGTGATCTCTCTTTGTGATATTTTTGCGAACCGTTTTGCAAATAGAAATGAATTCTTGAACTGGCTGTAAAATTCTTGATTCGATCAATTCAACTTCAGGCGTTAAAAGTTCACGTAATTCATCCAAAGCCTGCTGAAAATAGCTGGCATTGACAATCGTATTTGTTGCTTCAGGATGTGCACGTTCGATATCAATCTCATTGCCCATCGGCCTGAACAAGGTTCCATAATGTTCACAAAATCCCGATCCGCTCAATAACATCGCTTTGACAGCATCTCGAAATGATGATGAATCTTTTTGCAGCTTTTCTGAATACTTTTCAATGATTCCAAATCGCCTATTGAGGTCATCGAATACGGCATCATTTGATTTTTGCGAAAGACCAACTTTGCTTCCCATCATTTGGGGAGCCCGTTTGACAAACTTTCCGATTCCCTTCATGGTGAATTCGCTAAGCCGAGTGGAAAATGTAGGAGTAGGTGTGGATGTGGTAGAAAGAGATGATTCGGGTTGTGAATTTGTTTCTTGATTTGTTGATTGGATGCTATCTCTTACCCCTCTTTGTCCAATCTTATTTGGTGGTGGAGTTGTGTATTTATCCTCCGGCATTGTGCTTGCGTAAATGTATTTTGTAAATGCGTGCGCTCGCTGTTTCCTAAAACAAAAGGGCTGTGCTGGCTGGCGGGCGGGCAAACGGCTAGCGTATAAGGAGGGGGAATCAGTAATACTGCTTCAACCTCCTCTCTCTTTGCATATGAGCATGTATGCCGCCTAGGAGGAAGAGGTGGAAAAGGGTGTTGTAATCATATTCTTAAGAGTGATGATGATGATGATGATGATGATGAAGGACAAAAAAACAAGATGGGAGGCAGAGCTACAGATCAACGCAATTTCAACTCCCTTCTTCAGCCCATTCAAAGCGGTCCGAAGCTGTGTTTCAATGACGTGATTGATGATGAGTCAAGTATCATAGAGTGGCATTTAGCAATCAGACAAGAACTCTTACAATATCAAATCATCTAATAAAAGCTTCCCTATAGCTTTGTTTGGAAACTAAGGCCTTACTTCACCATACTTTATCCTCAATGGCTTGAAGTTAAATACTTTTTGAAATGATTAAGGTAGAAATACAACTTTTGTACAATTTGGTAACTCTTCCGACTCAATTTGCCCTTTTCTCAAGAAAACTTCCAACGATTTCCACAATTAGTACATTGAACAAATGTCGTCATTGGTTCATCAGCTGAACGTGTCTGCTTTTGATAATATCGACATTTTCGCTTCTTGCACTTGCCGCATTCGAATGCATCCGTCTCCGCTTCTTGGGCTTCCGCTCCTTTTGCATTGAACAGATTTTGCATTTGTAATGCGTTCCTTTCAGCTTTTTGCTCTTCTGATGCCATCTCTTCAGCGGACATGGTAACGAGCTGGTCGCTTGAGATTGATCCAGAAACTACATTGGCACGTAAAGCAGGATTCTTTTTATCCTTCAAGTTCAATGTCAGACTACGAACTTTTGAACGATAATCTCCCGTTACCTGACCTTTTCCGACAATTTTCAAAACGGATGCTTCGATCGCCATCGCTCTTTCGTATATCAGTTGAGAATCGGAAGAATTCATCTCTAGAGATTGAAAGATTAGTTTGAGGCATGCATCACGTGTACGATCATTAAGAACTTCAAAGTTCAATGTCGTTTTGTTGCCTGAAGAAGGCACAGCAGGCGTTGCAGGCGATGCGACAGCAGTGGAAGGTGAAGCAGAAGCGATGGGGGAATCCTTCTTCTTTGCCTCTCGCTGTGAGTCGACTTTACTTTTCCAAGTTCGCACTAAGTCTTTTGCTAATTGAGAAATATTTTTATCATCGACAGAACGTATCTTTGCAACTGCTTGTCCGATCTTTGTCGCTCGAATCACTTCTTCTGTCGGTTTCACTCCTTTTTGTAGATCCTCCAATATCTTGAGAGCATCCTTTGAGCGATTCTCAGATATGGCCGTGTTTAAACTTTTACCGAGATCTTTAATTTCTGCATTGCTCAAGAAGGATGGCATGCTGAATTGATATATATAGGGAGAAGAAGAGGAACCGGAAGAAGAAGTTCTGTCGGTCGTATGACGACGCGAAATGTTCTTATCGTTACTGCCAGTGAATGAATGCATATATTCTAGTTGGCAATGATTAAGTAATCTCACGCGAAGAATTGATTTTTTTTTTCTTGGTCGTTGCTTTATTCAGAAGATGAAGCTATCCTGTATGCAAGCGATACTCATATGCAACCATCATCCACTGTCTTATCATGTCATCCTCACAGGAAAGACCACCTCCTTCGGGCTCCACTCCGACGAGAAGGATAGGTCGCCCGCCAGCAATTCGACCTCAAAATGATAATAATACAACACCCTCGATCGGCACTAGAACGCCATCTTCTTCAGTCACGCCTATCCCGCGAAGTGCTTCAGGTTCCGGGCAAACGCAATCTTTGATTCCTTCATCCTCATCGTCAATGTCAGTCAGACCATCAAAATCCGGTCAAAAGCTTCTCTTTCGACCAAAACAGCCTCTACGTAGGCCAATTAAAGAAGATCCAGACGGTCCAGCTTCTCGCTCTGCCTCGCCTGCAAGTAAGTTAAATGGCACACCTTCTGTTTCTCTTTCTCCTTCTTTACAGACTTCAAATACCGTCCGGCCACCAAGAAGATTCAACGGACCAAATGGAAGTGCAGCCAGACCTCCTCGTGGTCAAGCTACTATGGTTGCTTCTGGACCATTTGCTCAAGGCTCGGGTGCTGCAAGTCGTCGTGACCATAGTAGAAATGGAAACACTGTTGGCGGCACTGGCGGCCCCAGACATGGTTTATTGGCCAACATCTCTATGGATGGCATGCAATCCTCTTCGTCTCGCTTAGATTATCGCGAACCTGACCGAGCAACAAAGAAGGAACGAGAAGACTACAGTGATCCAGAGGATGCAGGCATTGAGATTATTGATCTAGAAGATGTTGATCAATTGGATGAATTGGCTCCCAAATCTCTGCCAAGGATGATCAAAAAAGAAGATCGTAAACGTGATGCCAAATCCCATACACCGCATCGCATTGACGAAAAGGATTCCAGCCGAACTTCTTCAAGGGAAACGAGCACAATTCCTGGTAAAGATGCAGATTCACGCCAAGCAGATGCTCTGGACCTTAGTGCAAGCGAAGAGGAAGAGGTAATGGACGATCTCTTGGATGATTTCGTGTCCAGACAAGATGGATTCGATGATGATGATGATGAGCCAAATGACCGTCTCTATTTGTTCCAATTCCCACCCTTGTTTCCAACATTTGAGCTGCCTCATACACAAGGAAAGGCGAGAAGTACTTTAGAAGAGAAGGAGACGTCCAATGTAAAGCCAAGACGATCGGTCGCATTTGCCGATGATACTGTGGGAGGAGGAGGAGCGGCAGGCATTTCACCGCGAGACTCGCCTGCATCAAAGGTGAAAGATGAAGATCATACGAAAAGAGAGATTGACTTGGATGGTATCGAAGATGAGGAACAAGAGCCAAAAGAAGGTCAAATTGGTCGACTGGACATCTATCGTGATGGAAGGGTACAATTTAATTTCGGAAATGGCTTGGTGATGGATGTCACAGGAGGTTCTCAATCCAGCTTTTTACAACAAGTAATGATCTTAGATCCACAACAACAGAAAGCTACAACGATTGGTGAAATCGACCGAAAGTTCGTCGTTGCTCCAGAAATTACGTCGATGCTAGATGATGCAAGTTTGGCTGAAAGCGAGGCAAATATTCTGGCCGATCCAGAGGGAATGGAGAGGGTGAAATGAGACTCTTGATTATTGGACGTTCTGATATGAATTCGAGCAATCTTATTAAACCATTGAATTTATCTATAAATTGTCGTTTCGACATGTGAAAAGCTTACGGGAATGAAAGCTTGTTTAAACGGCAGAATAGCCACCATCAACGATGATATCACTTGAAGTGACATACTTGCTTGCGTCAGATGCTAAAAAGATTGCTGCACCTTTCAAATCTTCTGGCAAACCCATTCTGCCCATAGGAGTACGTCTTTCCCATTCGTCGCGTAAAGCTTTACCTTCTTCGGTAGATTCGATCATCACCTTTGTCAAATTGGTATACATGTATCCTGGCGATAAAGAATTCACTCGAATGTTATATTGAGCCCATTCGACGCCCATACTTGATGCCATATGTTTGACGGCAGCTTTGCTGAAGTTGTAGGGTGCTTGTACTTGTGGAACATTGACAACAGAAGCGCTCATACTTGCTACCAAAACGATTGATCCATCTTTGGTGCCATCAGCAATCATTCTTCGTGCTGCTTCATTTGCGACAAACCAAGAGCCATCAACATTGATACCCATCAATTTACGGTACTTTTCCGTTGGATATTGTTCAGCCGGGAAATTTTCTACAATTCCAGCAGAATTAATAACAGTGTTAATCCTACCCCATCTTGAATGAATAAGATCAAAAGCGTCTTTTACGCTTTGTTCGTTTGCCACATCACAAGATACACCGATCGTATCTAAAACCCCTTTTTCGACTTGACCATGTTCTTCGAACCATTGAGCAGCTTCTTTTGCTGCTTGATCAGCAGATTCTTGGTTTAAATCGAGAAATGCGACTTGATTAGCACCTGATTCGATCAAAGTACGTGCCATCAAATTTCCCAATCCACGTGCTGCACCAGTGACTACGCAAACTTTGTTTTCCATTGAAAAGGATGCCAAAGTTCTTTTTGAATGTGGTCCTACTTTACCTCCGGTCAAGTTGTGACCAACATCTTCAGAATCTTGAAGCTTTTCCAATTTTTCCAATGGAATCTTGATCCTGTCCAAGTCTTCTTCTTTAGCGGGATCATTTTTGCCTTTGGAGGAGGAAGATGCGATAGATGATGACGAAAAAGGTTGCACGTTACCCAAATAAGTTGAAGATGAACCTAAGACGTGACGAGAAGTTGAGGCAATACAAGCTGAATTTGATTGTCTCAACATGTTTGATCCAAAAGAGGATTGAATGCCACGAATGAATGTACGAGAAACGGCCATTTTGAAAGATGAAATTGTTTGAAAAGAGTTTTGGTGGTGGTTGGAAGGGAAAAAGTAAAGGCTCTTTGATTCGGTTGCAAGAGCCCGTTGAAGTTTCCATGTACATCGATCAATTCGGATATCCGAGATGATTCCGGCGCCGAAGTTGACCGTCATACTGCACCAGTTCGTTCGCATGCAGAGCTTTGATGAAGGAAATTTCTCATAAGTAAGCCGCCCGTTTAAGCGTGGGGGTTCGTTCTTCCGTTTCTTCTTGAATGAATTGGTTTGGATGACATAATCGCACGCGCAGCGCACATACATTACAAACAGCCCTTTTGAATCTTGCTTCAATACACCGCACAGGTGCAGCATACAAAAACGCTAATCTACATTATGTATTAGGGTCGTACTTGTGTTGAATAGAATCGCGCGACAAATTGCCCAGCTAAACAACATGGCCCAAAAGATACCCAACTCTATCATCATCCTAGTATCACCTTTCTGGAATATACCAAATACCCATTCTCATCCTTCTTCTTGATCGCACTTTCAAGATCAATTGAATTCCTGGCAAGAGCTTCAACAATTCTGTATCAAGTTCAAAAGTCACAAACACAAATTGGAAATCACCCCTAAACAACAAATACGACCCGTTTTCATCACAATGGAAGACATAAGTGCAATAGAGGATGTACCTGCGACCAGATTGACTCTAGATTTGAGAGGTTCACGCTTTACCATCGAACAAGCAATGTTGATGAATCTGCCCGAATCTGTTCTTTTATGCTTGTTTCCAAACGGTCTCGTTTTAAGTCGACAATCTACTGCCGGTGGCATAGCAGGTCCATCATCCAATACAAATGCAGAAGGAAATGAAGAAGGCGCAACTGATGCAGATGATGATGAAGAAGTTTATATGGTCGATTTCGATCCAGCTTGCCTTTCTTACGTTTTACGTTTTTTCAAAGGAGCACAAGAAGATTTTTATGGTTTACCAGGTAAACCATCCAAACGAGCACAATTTGCACAATCTCACGCAAATCAACATCAATTCGGCGTCGATGGTGACTATGATGCATTTGGAGGTGTACCTGGAGCGATGCCTTTGATGAGCAAACAAGCAATCATTGTTTTAAGGGAAGAATTGGAATACTTTAGCATACCTCCAAAAAGCTTGCAAAACGGCATCGGAATTTCAGCAGGAAGAAAATCAACAGATTCAAAGGGCAATCCTACGCCAGATGTGCCAGCAAATACGGTCACAACGCCAGCTTTGCTCGATCTGAAGCAAGAATGTGGATCAGCTCTACTGGAACGAAAACAAATCTTTACAGCATTGCAAAGGAATGTCAATAAGGAAAACAATATGGCTGAACAGCATTTGATCGATATGTTGTGTATGAGCGGATTCGATCGTGATGATACTTGGGGTTTCAGAGCTTTGGAGCCAAACAGATGTTGTATAACTTCTATTGCGCTTGTTTTGCTTAAAACAGGAATCACTTTTAATGAGCCAAACGTGGAAGGAAAGGGAGCATCAGATGCACAATCGAGTACAAACGCAAATGAAAATTCGTCCACCTTAGGCGAAGGAGACGTTGAAATCGATCAACAACAATTGAACACAGCACAAAAGTTGTTGCTCTTTTGGAGAAAACCGGCAAGAAAGTGCTGGTGGGATGGCGTGGACGTCATCTTGCCATTATTGGAGGGCGAGCAAGCCGTTTCAGAATCAGGAAAGAGTGTGGTATCGGAGGATACGTCAAACAACTCAGGTGGAATGACAACAGCAGAACAGGAGCTATTACGATCAGGAAAAGGAAGAAGGACTAGAGTATGGGCAAGACGAGTATGGACATTGGAATTGAGCTTGATATGAGCTGAATCCTTCCAGTATTCGAATCAACAGCAAACCACATGGTTACTTCACGTGTGACGCAATGAACCATCTCTATCATGCAACATACCCTAAGCTGCTTTATAATACCATTCAACCAAAAAGCTGTCTTTACGCCCCTCCTTGCATGATCAGTTTTACCGATTACGTTTTAATGATAGCCTCTTTAACTGCCATTACACTTATCAGCCACGAACATTCTGCTTGCATATCCTTATGGACTTTATTCATCATCTGCATTCAATTCAGTCGTATTCAATTATACACAACCTTACACAGACAACCTTTCAAAAGCATTCTTTTTATTTTAATTTACAATTTTCTCCATTTCTCTTTTATCAACTTGTCAGGCTGATTGGATTCATATACTTTTGCTAATGATATACGGATTCTTTCGATACAAGAATCTGAACATTCCGCTTCCAGGCCTCTCAGAAATTAGAGCTATTCAGCGGTAACTCATGCAAAAAGCACATTGAAGGTAAGCATTAGCTACTTTCACGTCTAATTTGCTTTTTCAGATAGTACAACCATATTATTTGTTTGATTGTAAGTTCTTCTATGAGGATTTGCTTGACTTACTTGTTTTCTTCATTTCGCTCTTCGTACGAAGAGTGATAAAGTGTCCTTTTACCAAGCTCAGCTGATTTGATTGATAGAGATATAAATATATTGATAGCGATCGAGTCATCCTTCCTCATAGAAATAGACGAATCGCATATATTAGAATACATCAACATTTAAGGTGTCGGAGTAGCCTATTGGATATAGAAGGCTATATATATGTATAATAGTATATTATATAAAGAGTATAATTATATCTACTAATGTAGTACTTATACGAAGTTCGTTATTAGATAAAATACTAAGTATATATTCAACATCTACATCTGATACAAGTATTAATCCTATACTCGATAGACGTAATTATAAATATCAAAATATAATCGTAAACGTATGAACACGTGCTTTAAAATACATTAAGACTGTCATCAGACTTATTTCTGGTACCCCTCATTAATTCACAACGGAGTAAGAATTTAAGGTCTAGAGTACCATCGTTTCTGTGAAAGTCGAACATATCCGACTTGGAGGTCTTGAGGATCGTGTATACCAGTCTAATAGCAGAAGAAGTAAGATAGAATCACAAGGAAATCTTTCCTCACTTTTCGATATTACCTTCTACCACTCGGATCTCGATCGCTATGTTCCCGAAATAGGACTTCATTTCAGCATCTTTCCTTCTAATGTAGCATGACGAGCCACATTATTGTTTGCACGATTTCGATTTAGAAACTATCAAGACAGCCTCCGTTTTCAAGCTAGAGCATGGTGAACGTCAAGCATTAACCTTCCTAATATCAAGACCAGTATACAATCTACCTCTGCTATCTATTATCAAGAAAGACTAAAGTACATAATGGCTCTTACACGTTTACCTGGAAGACGATATGATCAACCTTGCCAGAAAAGTCGGGAACATCTTCTCTGGTTCACATAGCCTCTGTCGCGTTATGTACAGGTGGCTTTAATATGAATCACTGAATGTATGTAGATAAATAAAATGCGACCTGAGCGTAAAGACAGGGGTGAAGAAGGATTGTTGGAACCGTGATGGGAGGTGGGAGACGGATTAAATAATCATAATAACAGTTATAGGCTCAGAAATGCCCCTCCGTACATACGAACGCGTCGCGACTTTCAGTGTAATTCATAATTCGCGTTCATATGTCGCGTTAGATAGAATAAGTTCCAACGGGTGGGAGAGAAGAAAGAGAGAGAACCATAACCAAGGCAAGCAAGCTAACAAACGACAAAAGAAAAGGCGGGGCAAGCATGCATGCACAAAATGGGCAAGTAGAACCAACAAGAATAAACGCTAATCTTAGGGGCTAGCTTTATTTAGCGCCAATTCTTCTCCAAAGAACCAAAAAAAAGGAACCATTCTCACTGTGAACCAAAAAGAAAAGGAACCATTCTCACTGTGAAAACTTCCCCGCATCTTCGGAATGAACATGCATAGAACGTAGAATCTAACCAAACTAGTCTTGAAATTTAGTCAATCAAATGATGATTGTATAAAACACAAGCGAAAAGAGCTTTATTAGACCCCTTTCTCCCTTTCTTCCTTCCAACATCCTCATCTTACCATGAAATCTCTTTCTTCATGGGCTGCTCTATTGAGCTTTGCTTTACTTGGATTTGAAGTGATTCCTTCTTTTGCCGGTAAAATACAAAGCGATCAAGCAAAAGCTGATCCAAGCCGTCGTGCTGCTGTAAAGCAAGCCTTTCAAAGTGCTTTTGGAGATTATTTAGAGTACGCTTATGGCTATGATGAATTATTACCATTAACCAAAAATGGAACGGGAGGATTTGGTAATTGGGGTGCAACTTTTATCGATGCTTTAGATACGGCAAAGATTATGGGATTAGAAGATATCGTTAATGAAGGAATTCGATTCGCAGAAAAAGTTGACTTTTCCCAAACTTCACAATCAACAATTTCACTTTTTGAAACAAATATTCGTTATGTTGCTTCTCTTTTGAGCTTATACGAATTAACTGGAAATACCAATCAAAATTTAGTCAATCAAGCAAAAGTGATTGGTGATAAACTCTTGAAAGGATGGTCCGGTAACAATAACATTCCAGATAATTCTTTGAACGATTGGACGAGTGGACCTTTTCCAGACACTTCGGTTAACGCAAACATCGCTGAAGCAGGTACTCTTTTACTGGAATTCAGCAGATTATCAAAATTCACAGGTAATTCATCATACCTCGATCATGCGGTTCGCAGTATGAGAGCCATTATCAATTCTACTGCCGTCTTTCCTGGCCTTTACGCTCAATCGATCAATCCAACAACCGCGGAACCTGTTGGTGATTATGTTACTTGGTCAGGTGGTAGTGACTCATTTTTCGAATATCTTGTAAAGTACGGTCAATTGATCGGCTCCACTGATATTTATATTCCCACTTGGATCAACAGCGTCAAGAGTAGCATTCAGCATTTGATTACAATGCCCGGTGATACTTCTGCAAATGTTACAATCCTTTCGGATTATAGTGCGAGTAATGGTGGTCTCATTCCACAATTCACTCATTTGGGTTGCTTTGCGGGTGGAAATTGGATATTAGGTGGAAAGTTACTCGATAGCAATGAAATCTTCCAATACGGTCTCGATCTTGCAAATGCATGCGTAAACACATATACTTCTTCTGTAACGGGAATTGGTCCGGAAGTCTTTGTGTTCAAAACTGACAATGGCGGCACAAATGGTGTAACGATTTCAAACGAAACGTTTTATAAAGAGCATGGATTTGATTATGCGGTCCCGACTTATTATTTGCGACCAGAAGTATTAGAAAGTGTATTTTACGCTTATCGATCAACAGGTGATAAACGTTGGCAAGATTTAGCTTGGACCGCTTTCAATTCGATCATAAAGTATTGCAAAGCACCAGCAGCTTTAGCGTCCATCTCGCAAGTCAACAATACCCAAACAACGCAAATCAATGATAGTGAAAGCTTTCTCTATGCTGAATTATTCAAGTACTTGTTCTTGATCTTTGATGATCCTAATGTTATCTCTTTGGATACTTACGTTTTCAATACTGAAGCTCATCCTTTCAAAGTGGAAAATCCTAATGCCGATTATAGTGGCGCACCTGTTGGCACAATTCCATCGCCAGGACAAGGACAAGATCAAGGTAGAACTCTTTCACCATCTTCAACTCAAAGAACATCAGCTCCTAGACCCTTGACATCAGGTTTATCATCTTTCTCTTTTATGAAATCGTTGACTTTCCAGAAGGAAAAGTGAGGAGGAATGTCCAGTTTATATCTTTTTGTATGTGCTATTCTCTTCAATACGTTGTCCATTCATCCATACCTCACATCATAAACACTTTCTTTGAGTCCTTGGCGCCTGGCCTGTTTGTTATATTTTGCGCACACGCATTTGTGTGGCACGTTGCGCGTATTAAACTTTTGCTGCATTCTTCTTCTTAGAGATGATGATCATCATTCCCATCTTTGTCATAATACCGTCACATAAAGATGAGTAGAAGACCAAATAGCGGAAACGGACGTGCTCAAACGCAAAGGATTGCATCAGGAGCACGAGCCAATCCATATTCTGTGAGTCAGATGGAAAAGATGTTCACTTTTGCTCACACTGTTTTGCTAATTTACTAATTCTCACTCATGATAGCGACCCGGAAGTGCATCCAAGCAAACATCTCAACAATATCCGCCTAATCAACTTTCCATTCGTGGCTCATCCGGTCCAACATGGATCTTAATACAAAACCTTTTACGTGGAACATCAGAAGCAGATATTCAATCCACTTTTCAGCAATTCGGTAAAATTGAAGCAGTTCGATCTCATCCTTCTTCCGGTTCAGATCAATCATTAAGCTTTGAAGTTGCATTCACTCATTCTACTTCTGCTCAAGGAGCAATCGATAAATTGAACGGTGCTTTAGCCGATGGTCGTGTTCTCAATGTTCGATTCCGAGATAATGTACCAAACAAACCTGCAAATGCTTCTGGCAGCAAAACAAGTAATCCTGTTCAACCACCTCGTGCTCCAGCTCGTGATATCGCTGCTGCTGCTGCTGCCAAAGCAAATCATGGAAAAGAATTGTTTCCCAATAAAGCCACTCCAGGAGCAAAGAATGGATCCAATCCTCTTGGTTCACGTCTAATGAGCGCAACAGAATTGAAAGCGTTATCTAAAAAGCAAGCACAACAAAAGAAGAAAGCTGCTACACCAGAAGGCGCTCTTTCTGCTCCTGGTTTCAATCAAGTTAGTCCTTCTTCGGCTGTTGCTCTTTCAAAGAGGATTGGTAGTTTGCCATTAGCATTACGATTAGCCGAAACGAATGCAGGAAGTACTGCAAATGGAAAGAAGAAGGGCTCTAGCGGTGCAACTTTATCTGCATCGCAAAAGAAGAGAAAGAGAGCACAAGCGAAAGCAGCAAATTCGTCGGGAATGCAATTGGATTAGTACTCTATTTTGATCAGTATCTTGTATCTTGTAAAGAAAAGACTCCTAGCAATATATTATATTTGAATGGCTCTTCCGTGCGGCTTCATTTCGTTGAATGACATGGGAAGTGCGGGCCCCTTTCTGAGATGGAAGGGCTTCTGAAAGAATGCGGATCAATTCACAAATTGTACCACCACCTCCGCTTTTAAGATGAATCAAGTATCGAAGGAGCACTTAGAAGTTGGACGTAGGCAGATCTTGCCACCGATTCCATTGCCAAAAGAGACACGTTCTCTATTTGAATTTTGCAATGCTGTCAAATTCAAAGTGATGTATGATGAAGAATTGGCAAAGCATATTCAACAAGTTCGAACAAAGATTGAAGCAATTACACCTTGGCCATGCTTGTATTGGTATTCCTTCCTTCCTCATGCGGGAAGTATACGTAATGTGAGCTTTTCTTCCACTTATCAACGTATTCTCGCTCATCTTCGAGCCAATCCTCAAGCAAAGATATTGGATATGGCATGCATGATCGGACATGACACTCGGATCTTATTACAAGATGGTGTTCAGCCATCCCAAATTGTCTGTTCGGATTTGTTTCCAAAGCTTTTTTCGCTTGGCAATGAGATGTTTGCAGATTCGATCAACGATGATCATCTGTGCGGTACGCAATGGAAAGTGACTGACATCTTTGATCAACAAATGGTCGATAACTTACGTATTCCTGGAGGATTTTATGCAATCTATGCGGCCAAATTCATTCATTTGTTTACACAAGCACAACAAGTGCAAGTAGTTGCCATTTTGAAAAGCCTCTTGAGCGAAGAAGCAGGAGCGACTTTGTTCGGAACCGATTGTGGACGTAAAGACGGACAAGAAGGTCTGTTTGACCTTGATAGCGGCATGAAAATGGGGCCAATCAGTAGCACAGATTCAACAGAAGCAAAGGAAATGTTTCATCATAGCTGCTCATCTTTTCGTCGGTTGATCACAGAAAATGAGGATTCTGAATGGAGCGTAGAAGCGGTATTGTTAGAGTCTGATCCTCCAAAAGGTGACGGAGAGATTGTTTGTGATCCTGATCACACTCAAGCATTATGTCAACATCTTCGCTGGACTGTGACTCGCAAATGAGTAGTGTATACTTTCATATTGACGATATAATACAGATGTTGTGTTTGATTTGCATCGCTCTTACTCGGCCTCGGCTCGGGCCAAGAAGCCGATACCCTGTGCTCTCAACTTTCTCTCAAATTGTTCTAGCCATCTTTTCAAAAGAGGAACAGTTTGTGGTGCACTATCCGGTGCAAAAGAGGAAAGGTAAGAAAAAATATTTGACGCTGTGGAAGAAGAGATGCGAGTTAGCCTTAGTCACCCTCTTTGCACATCATGCCAGCACTCACCAATCTTTGGTGCCATAGCGAGTGCTAATTGAGTCTGTGTAGCTTCATCAATCTGTCCGAATTTGACCAAGGCACCACCTCCTCCGGCTGAATCGGAGGTTTCAGTTTGCATTCCGTCCATATCTGCAGCGGCTGAAGATCCTGTTCGATTCTTATTTGCCATTTGTGCGTCTACGTCTGCATTTGATTCAATACTGATCCCAATTGCGGCAGTGTTTGGCATTGCTGCGCCACCGCTTTGCTGTGTTAGCCCCTTTAAACGATATATAGCCGAGGGTTTCTCATTTTTGAGGCTGTATTGGGATTGATGATGACAGAGGTGAGTGTTTGAACCCCAAAAGGATCAATACGTACATTACTCACCATCCCAGCATGATCCACTTATCTTCTCCGTTCACCTTCCAATTTAGATGTACTGTAGCTGAGAAACCTGGCGGAAAAGCTTGTTGACCAGTCATGAAAACGGTAACATGATTTATATTTGCAGCATCTTCCAATGCAAATATGGCATGCGTTTCATCAATTTGTTGAGGTGCAGGCAGGGGCAATCTACCTGCTATTACAATTGAGAACATTCTAAGCCCCCGTTTTGTGAATTGTTTTGATTGTATGCTTGATAAGCCGCGATGAAGGTGGCAGTGAGGATGGCAGTGAATATGACGTTGTTTTTCATTTCATGATTCGTTGTCAAGATTGAAGCAATCATCACTTAAGAGCAAGCGAAGATTCTGGAAAAGCGCGCTAATGCATATGCACTGCATAGTCTTTTTCTTATTGACAGGCGCACGCTTTTTCCGATCATGCAAAAACAGGAACGAGAAGAATGATTATGTTGCGATCTTGCTATTCAGCATTCATTCTTGTTATCACAATATTCATCATTATCAGAAAAAGACTCGGGAACTTGATGTAAGATATGGCGATGCTGGCATTCAAAAAATCTTGTTCGAGGCTATACGAGCCGGGGCGAATGACAAACAATCCTTTGCCCAGACTGTGGCAGTGAAATGGTATCATTTCAGCATTTATTTGCATTCAGTCAACAGGTATATAAACGGCTCGATCAACGCATACATTGCACAATTATCTCCCTCACCTTGATCGAGACATCTTCTCGCTGGCAAACTCAGTCTATCTTCATTTATATTCTTTTTCAAAGAAGTACACTCTATCTATTCGTACTCTGATCTTACGCTATCTGCCTTTCTGCCATCACCATGAGATGTGCAACGGCGGTGATTTTACTTGTTGCTATTTTGCAACAAGTAACTTACGTCCATGCAAACATTCCAACAATTTCAAACGATGAGCTTGAACAGACATGGCACAAACGTTTAGGAGGAGCAGGAGCAGCAGAGGCAACCTCGGCTGCAACACATGCTGCTGAAGCAGGTGCCAAAGTTGCAAAAGCTTCACATCATGTCTCTCGTACAGTGGCCGGTGCAATCACTGCTGCTGCTGCCACACTGGGTTTTGGCGGTGGAATTGCAGCTCACAAGTATCACAGCGACCGTAAACAAGCTCAAAAGCTCAGTTTGAGAAATGAACCTCCAATGAAACGTGACAGTCTTGATGATGACTTTGAAGTACGATTTAACAAACGCGGCAAGCCTATTCCTGTAAAGAAAGTGATTGCAATTGCTACAGGAGCGGCTGCAGGTGGTGCAGGAGTAGGCGCTTTGGGTCATTCTCTCTACGAAAAGGACAAAGCCAGAAGAAAAGGAATTGCTGCTGTCAGTGCTTCTGAATCCGGATCGCCAATGATGAAAAAACGTACGTTCTCAGAGTTGGATAATTTGCCTTTTGAAAGACGTGGAAAGCCATTTACAGGACCCCAAGTCGCTGCAATTGCAGGAGGTAGTATTGCTGCTGGACTTGCTACTGGTATCGGTGTTCATGCAATGGTTCAAGATCACAATACTGTCAGAAAAGTTCGAAATGGTGAACTACCAATGAAGCGATTCGAGAAAGAAGAAAATGCAAATATCTTGCTCAAACGTAGTCCTGGTCATTCGGTCATCAGTCCAAGAGCTGCTGGTATCATTGGAGCAGCATCATTTGCATCTGGCGCAGCTATTGGCGGCTTAGGACATAAAGCTTATAGCACTCCAAATCGAAGTATGCCAATGAGTATGTCACAAGGACCTCCTCAAGGTCCTGGTCCGATCGAACGTGGTTTCGAGGATGGTGAACGACTTGTACGTAGAGCAAATCTCAAAGCATTTCAGCAAGGTGCAAAGAAATTCCTTGAGACCAAACACGGACCACATGTCGCAGGAGGTGCACTTGCACTTGGTGTTACAGGAGCTGCTTTTGCAGGTGGGCATGCATTGGGTCACCATAGCGAGCGCAATCGTATCGATCGATTCCAAGCCGAACAGCAACAAGGGGGTGGTGGTGAAGGTGCAATGATGATGGTTAAACGTGCTGGAATAAATGAAGCATTCAAACACGCGGGTGCATCTTTGAAAGGAGGTATGACAGCCTTGCATGGCAAAGTAGGCAAGAATGGTTTGATTGCGGGCGGGACTGCCGCAGGTGCGGTCGCTCTCGCAGGAGTCTCTTATGCAACTGGACGTCATCAAGGAAAGATTAGTAACATTGATGATCACAAGTCAATGTCAATGGGTCCTTCTGCAGGTGGCGGTGGCTCTTCCATGATGTACAAGAGAGGTATACTCGTAAATCACCCCAAGGCTGCAACAGCTCTTACTCTTGGAGCTACAGGACTCATCGCTGCAGGTATCGGATCAACTTCAGGCAAATTGCACGAACAACGCAAGTTGAATGGGATGAATCATCATCTCCCATCATCATCAGCATCAATGAAATCATCAGCCGGTGCAACAGCTATGGGCTTATCAGAAGGTGGAGCAGAAGGGCGAATGATGAAGCGTGGAGAACATGACAAAGCAGCTCGAGTGCTGCCACCAACAAGTTCCGAGGTTGAAGAGGCCGTGAAGAAAGGTAAGCCAAGACGATCGAGAGTGAAGGAAGTTTATTCACCAAGCTCACATCTCACACCTACAGGCAGTACAGCTACCAGTAACTCAGGTGGCTCAGTAAGCCAGCATGCTTCCGGCGCATCTTCAAGTCATTCAAGCGGCAGCAAAGTTCTCGAACATCAACATTCTACAGCTTCCTCTAAAGGCCTTTCAGGCGTAGCTCATCAAGCTGAACATGCAAGTAGCGGATCAGCAGCTGTCAAAGCAGGCGAAAAAGCTGCCGCAAGTTCTTTGAAAAATTTCCATGTGACCGGTAAGCAAGCTACAATTGCTGGTGGCGTTTTGGCTGTTGCAGGTGGTGCAGGATTAGTGGCTCATCATTTAACGAAATCGAACAATCACAAAATGAATGGAGTATCCGCTGGCACAGTCATGCGAAAGAGAAGTGAATCTGTTGGTGACGAACTCTTGCAAAAACGTAGTCCAGGTCAGCTTAACAAAGCTTTGCTCGTCGTTGGAACGGGCGCTCTTGCAGGCGGAAGTTATTTGGCTGGATATGCTACTGGAAAGCCAGCGGGCGTATCCAAAGCTGCACAGCATGAAATGAAGATGCGCAACTCTGGCGGCGGAATGGGCGGTGGTATGTACAAACGTGCAATTGCAGAAGCAGAAGTGGAATTTGCTAAACGTGAAGCGATAAACGGCAAAACTGCTCAAAAAGCTGTCATGGGAGTTGGTGCTGCAGGTTTAATGATCGGCGGATACCTTGCTGGTAGGAACCACGGCATGGAACGAGGACAAGCAGATTACCATACTCAAAAGCTTTCCCGTGGTGGTGGCGGCGGATATTACAAGCGCTCTATTGATGAAGTACAAATGGTAAAGCGTGGACCGCCAATGAGAATACACAAGAAAATTCTTCTAGCTGCTGGTGTTGCTACTGCTGGTATAGGTCTAACTGTACCTGCTTACAAATTCGGCAAAAAGGACGGCAAACATTCTGCACGTATGGCAAGACAATCGTCAATGCAAGGCATGTCTGCACCAATGGATAACAGTCCTGCGCCTATGGAGAAGAGGGAGACCCACAAAAAGACTTACGAATTGGGCAAGCCACAACAGTACGGTAAAGGTAACAAGTTACCTTTGCGCTCCGAAGTAGATGATAAGATGTTGTACTGAAGTCTGTGTTGGGATCGTGACCTTGTGCTGTTCATTGATTCACTATCTATTTCTAGAGTCATACTTTCCTTGCTTTTGCTCTTATTTCATACGATCGGTCCCCTCTGAGCTTTCATCTTTTTTTTTTGTATGTAACCAATCTTTTGTTTCAATTTATTCATTTTTCCAAACATGATTTGATTGCGCTATTGTGGCTGAAGCTTTGCTTGTCAAATATGTTTGTACCGCATTATTCAGCAATACGGATGGATTACTGCGGAGCGGTGTTGATCTGTCTTGACAAAAAGATTAAAAATGCAAAACGAAAAAAAGTAAAGGCACAGCATTAAGCTAAACGGAAGTTGGCAAGATGGCAACAATACCCGAATTAAATGCGTACCCGCCGCCGAACAGCCACATGCATTTACAGAAGGCCCGATGGCGATAGGCTGAAAATGTGACGTTGAATCATGCTTTGTTTGTTGAGTATATAAGAAGAGATTGATCTCTCTTCATTTCCTTTCCTTTTCAATATACTTGTAAAGAGTAAATCATAAATATGAAGTGGACACAGCTGGCTGTGATCGTTTTTGTAGCAATTCAACAATCATCATGCACAATTCAAGAACATCAAAGGCCTTTAGTAGGCGTTGAGGAAATAGAATCTCCTCCTGGGATGAATGTCAATCAAGAAATCGAAGCAGAGCCAATCCCTTATTATCCAATGGAAGCCTTCAAAGCACATCGTCACTTCTCTTCTCTATACCATGGTGGAGAACATCCTAGCTATAAGAAAATGGCTAAGATGATTAGAATTAATGATCATCCTGATGGCATCAGAATTGAGATTGATGAGGACTCTAATCAAGAAGCACACTTAATCAAACGTCAAGATAGTCTCAATGAACCTCTTGAGAAGAGAAGCAAATTGAAAGGTGCTCTTTTGTTAGCAGGGGGAGCTGCTTTGGGTGCTTTGGGTATGAAACATCTCAGTAAACCAAGTGGCGGTGGACAAGCTGATCCAAATGCAGGTGTTCCTGCAAAGTAAAGGATTCTTCAGTACTTCAACTGGAGCTTTTGTTTGTTGATAAATGATGCCTACTTCTCATATTCAATTTTAATTCATATCATGCTAGGCGTAGTAAGAGCACTGCCATCTTTTAAATCACTCACACATGAATCTGCACTGCCTCATCCCAAGCCGGGCATATCCTTTCGGATGAGTTGAAGTGACTTCAAGGATCTGCTAAACAGCCACACTTGTTCTTAGCCCCGCATTTTGATAGGTGACCTGGTCTTGATATGACCCGATACTAACTTGACATGTTGACATCGTAATGGGATATTTCTGCATGAGCGGACATAGACCTCGATGCTCGAGTCATGCACACGCAATTAGTAACACACAGAGGGCAGTGCGTTTTGATTTCATTCTCATTCTTATTTCCATCCTCTTTGATGATAAAACGTGCTATACCTTTCAAAGCCCCTATTTCTATTAAAAGTCCAAGATGATGCCTTACAACCATTCTCTGCGTCCCACACGAGACATCCGAATTGGTGAAAGTCTCAACGAACCCCGAACATTACCCGAAGGCGAAAATCTTGGATCTACGTCATGAAAAGATCAATTGTCGAAAATATAAAATGCGCATTTCTCTAGAAAACTCAATTTCCTATTCTGGTCAAGATCTGCTCCTCAGGTGATTCTCAAACATTATCATGAAGTGGACTCAGTTTACTGTTATCATTTTCCTGGCAATTCAACAAGTATGTGCAGTTCAAGAGCAGGTTGGATCACCATTGAAAATCGAGGGTGGAGAGGTATCAGAAGTAGACCTTGTGTTGAAACTAAATCCACATCAGCAATTGCTTAATATCCCTCCGAGCACAAATGGCAAAGAAGAGCCAAAAGAATATCTTGGTTCATACACCACTCTACACGACCACCATACACCGCTTTCGGACATGAAGATGGTCAAAGTGGCAAGAGTAAAGGGCATTCGAGACGATGACGATGATCAAGGGAGATTCCTGGAGAAGCGAGGAAACCAATTTCCAGTGCCAACAAAACCTGCAGTTGCTCCTGATGTTGTTCCGGCTGGTAACACCATTTATCCTGGTAAACATATTACGCATCCTACTGGTGGTGGCGGTGGTAGTAGTATTGCTCATTCTGCTGAATCTGCTGCCCATTCAGCAACATCAGCTGCTGCCAAAACGAAGAAGTTCGGTGGCAAAGCTGGAAAGGCAGTGGCAGGAGTTGCATTGGCTACTGCTGTAGTAGGTGGAATTGCTGGAATTGCTGCAATCAAAAATCATCAACAAAAAGGTAAGTATATGAAACGTCAAGAAGAAGAATCTTTCCAAGCTTTGGAGAAAAGGAACAAGATTCCGAAAGGTAAAGCTGCCGCATTCTTTGCTGGAGGTGCGGCTGTTGGAGCAGCAGGATTGCATTTCTATCGTGGTTCGAGTAGCCCTCCTGCTGCTGAACCTAATGCCGCATCGTCAACACCGCCGCCTGCTAAATAGGCAGATGTTTTATCAAGACCCGCAGACTTTCAGTGTAGATTCCGTTTGTACATACTTCTTCTTTGTTCTCTGTACGTATGTATACATTTCTGAGATGAATCTCCTCACTTTCACCTGTTTTCATTCAGTTTTATAAATTCATGAATAAATGGTGTCACTTGGGTTCTCATTCTTGCAATTGTTTCTTGAGTCGGAAATGTTTGTTTGTAGATTGTGTCGCCATGACCAAGAAAGAGTCAGCAATGTTTATAAAGAAACGATGGGGCTACAAAAGAGAAGTGTTTTCAGATCTTCGGGTCTTTACGCCTCTATGGCGTGAGTTGTTTCAGTACTGTCACCCAAGAAAATGTCCCATCAACTTCAGCCCCTTTCATTCTCAAGGATAAGGCGGTAGGCGTGCTCCCCAAGCCTTCAGAAGAAAGAAAGAAAAGATGAAGGTATATAAGATGATATTCATACTCATAATCTCTTCTCTCTTTCACACAAGCAACAGTCACTTTGATAGTAGACTTACTCATTAACAGAAACGTTCAACGAGATGAAATGTGCTCAGGTAGCCGTTTGTCTCATCTTTACTCTTCGACAATGTCATGGTGCACGTATCTATGTGGACTCAAACACGCAAGATGAGAAATTGGAGTCGAAGGTTGAAGAGATCATGATCCCAAATGACATTCAAGTTGAGCGACTTCATCCGTTTCCAAGAAAGAATACATTTGATAATCATCACTTTCATACCAAGATGATCAGAACATTCCCTTTGATCGAACCAGAAGATGATAAAGTTTCACCGTTTTATGAAGAGATTCAATTGTTCAAGCGTGGAAGAGGAGGAGGAAGAGCAAGAAGAAGAACTGAAGCCAAAGCTGCTCGAGCTGAAGCAAAAGCAAACGCACCTTCTCAAGGCAAGCAACAACAGAAACCCGCAGCAGCGCAACAACAACATAACCCCGCACCCGGACCTGCGAAGAAGGGAGGTATGAGCAAAGGAAAAGCTGCTTTGCTGGTTGCTGGTGGAGCGGCTGCAGGAGCTACAGCTGTTCACGCAATGAGCGGTGGCGGCGGTGGTGGTGATCCAAATGCACCTCCAGCGTGATTTGAGATCCTTTGTTTTATTGTATTTGTTATGTACACCAATTTGTATTCTCATGTTTGATTTCAATTCTATCTTTCTGACTTTTAATAATAGTGCGGAGCATCTTGTATCAATCTTGTATTTTAGTAGCAGGTCAGGAATCGTAAGCAAACCTGCTTGCTGAGCATATGACTCATTTGTTTGCCCTATTCCAGCTTTTTGATTTGCCACTGATTAGATTGTACTGGTCAGATTGACATGTTTGTCTTGCATCGATCAAAAGGGTGGCTGAAGAAAGGAAGTGCCTTGGATTCCCATCTCTTCCTACGCCTTCGTGGCTTTGCTCGGCGCCGGAATGATTTTTATGCGAATGCCCCGATGATAAGCCCCTTTCGTCGTTCAGATACTCACTTGGCAATCTTTGAAAAAAAAGCAACAGGCGTCAAAACAAGCCTTTCCGAAAAATATAGTAGTGTCTCGCTTCTAAGAAGCTCTTCATCTCCTACCATCAAATAACAGGTCACTTTGATAGTAGAGTATTCATCATTTATTCTGCAGAAGTCACTTTGAGAGTGAGCTCCTATGATAAAAGACCGAAAGATGAAGTGGACTGACTTAATTGTATTCATTTATTTGGCCGTTCAACAAGCCAGCACAATTCAAGCATATGTGATCTCATATTCAAAATTCACTTTTTTAGATCCTGGTTCAGAAGAAGTCTATGGCCTGCAAGACGAAGCAATAGCAAAATTACACCAACCTTTCTATGGCTCAATCTCGAACTCATACGAAAGTGATCATTTTGACAACCGCAAAAAGATATTAAAAGGGATCAAAATCAAGGACAAAAGCTTCGAGATTGACTATCAAGAAGATGATCTTGACCAACCAAACCCGCTGCACAAACGAGAATTGAACTCGCATACCGGAGCAATTGTGCCGTATAAGCCACCTGGTGCGATTGTAGTACATCAAGGAGGAAAGGTTCATCCAGCACTACCACCAAAAACAGGTTATGGAAGAGGTGCAAAGATTGCAACAGTAGCAACGACAGTAGCGGCAGTGGGTGGTTTGACCGCTTCAATAACTACTCGTAAAAGAGATCTTGCAGAAGAAGAAGTTCAATTTGTAAAGCGAGGTGGAAGAAGAGGAGCAGGTAGAACAAGAGCCGCAAGAGCACGAAGGGAAGCAAACTCGCAAGCTAATCGAGAACCAGAAAAAAAAGGTGGAATGGGTAAAGGAAAAGCTGCGATGATAGTTGCTGGAGGAGCGGCTTTAGGTGCAGCAGCAGTGCATGTGGCAGGCAAAGGTGGGACAGGTGACCCAAATATAGCACCTGCGTAGGGTAACTCTTTCCATGTTCATTTCTTGTATTCAACCTGCTTATACTTGTATTATTCATGAGTTGCGTTTTATTTCTATTTTGAAGGACTTGGAGTTGTGAGAGTCATTCCCGCCTGAACTCCGATCAGATCATATGGCGGATTGTTCAATAGAAAGGTAGGTCCACATTATTGGATCGGGGCTGTAGTCTACATGCTATCTCTCGATGGTCATTACTCATTACTACAAGTTATGGCTGAAGTGAAGCACTGCTTTAAACATTTGCCTCTTCAAGCCTTCGCGGCGTAGCCCGGCTCAAAAGTGATTGGCAGCCTTGGCTTGATATACTGAATCCCCTTTCGCTTTATGCCCCTTAAAATCTTGGAAAGATGCATCTGATGGCTATAGGCGTTACTTTGAAAGAGAACTCCGATGGTCATTGGCGTTAGCATGCGCCTTGGAAAAGCGTATGATGAAGTGACATAAAAAGGCATATATTTGACTGTATTTCCTTCTCCATCGCCCAAAAGTCACTTTGACAGTGACTCAAACATTTCAGAAATCGCTTTGACAGTGTATTCCTGTGACTATCAAGATGAAGTGGACTCAATTAACTGTGATCATGTCTTTAGTATTTCAACAAGCTTGTATAGTCCAAGTAAACATGACACCTCTACCAAAAGTTTCCTCTCTAGGTTACGATGCTGAAGAAAAAGTTCGTTTAGAAGATGACGAAGGAGGAGCAAGTGAAGTATCAACCATTAACGTAATGATGCGTAAACCTGCTCATCGCTTTTATTCAAATCTGTATAGCAGTAAACTGTCTCCGAAGCCTAAAAAGATGAGAAAAATGATCAAAATCGAAAACAAAGATTTTGTATATGACATCGAAGAAGAAGGCAAAGACATGGACCAAGCGATTGTGTTACAAAAACGAGAGTTAAACGGACATACAGGAGCGATTGTTCCCTACAAGGGTGGAGGTGCAATTGTACCACATAAAGGAGGAGGTGCAGTTGTACCACATCAAGGCGGTGGTGGCAATGCAGGATCGACTGCACGTAAAGGGTTTGGAAAAGGAGCGAAAGTTGTAGCTGGTGTGGGTGGTGCAATAGCATTAGGTGGTGTTGTTGCTGGTGCTGTAGGTCTGGCAAAACATAAAAACAAAAGATCCCAAGACGGAGAAGAAGTGCAATTTGTGAAGCGTGACTGAAGAAGAGGATGCATAAGAATAAGGGCTGCAGCACAAAGTTGAGCAAAGCAAGCTGGAATTGCTCTGGCTCCAGCTGTTGCAAGAGATGGAATAAGTGAAGCCAAAGCTGGAATGATGCTTGGTAAAGGTGCGGTCGGAGAGGCAGCAGCAGTGTATGTGATATGCGATGGTGGAGGAGGTAAGCGAAATACAGCACCGGCCTAGAATAAGAATATTTACAGCTTTATTATGTATACTACCTCTTTGTATTTCTTTTGTTCATATCTTGTTAATCATATCTATTTTCAGAAAGCATCAAACCGAAAGAGTCTTTCTCCTGCCAAAGCTCAATTGTGTTCTACTATAGGCCACTTAATACGATTGCAAATCTACATGCTTAATCACTTTCCAACTCTCTGCTTTGAAGATCATAACTTCAGAATTACTGGCCGAAGAGAAGCACTGCTCATAGTTTATGCCTTTTTCCCACCTTCGCGGCGTAGATGTAACGAGGTCGGCAACCTTACTATAGGATACTGATTGCCCCTCTCTCCAATGCCCCCTTTCGTGGCTATGAGATGTTTTTTTTTGGCTATTGATAGAGGATGTTTGATGGTTGTGGGCGTTAGAAAAAAAGTGGTATAAAGAGAGGTAAATGTTTCGTCATGTATCTTCTTATTAAACCACAACAACCTAAAGTCGCTTTGATAGTAGACTCAAGTAAATCAGTAATCACTTTGACAGTGTACAGTGTAATTTCTGTGACGATCAAGATGAAGTGGACTCAATCGATTGTGTTGATCTGTTTTGCGCTTCAACAAGCTTGCACAATTCAAGCATATGTGATGCGTTTACCAGACTATTCTTCTATAGGTTATGATGAGAAAGGAATGAATCCCTTAGAAGATGATGAACTAGACAACCACCAAATTTCAACCAATGGTTCAATGTTGGGTAAGCCCTTTCATCGTTCTTTCTCAGACCTATACAGGATCGGACCGCTTACTAGTGCTAGAAAGATGAAGAAAGTTATCAAAATTACAGATGATGGTTTTGAGTTCGATTTAGTAGAAGAAGACGATATGGAATCAAATCTGTCACAAGAAGGAGAATCAGACAGATCTCAAGCAAGAGGAGAAGTACAATTAGTGAAGCGTACTGGAACAAGAGGAGGTAGAAGAAAAAGAGTTGCAGCACAGAATAGAGCAATGGAAGCAGCAAAAAATGCTCCAGCAAAAAATGCTCCAGCAAAAAATGCTCCGGCAAAAGGTGGAATGAGTAAAACTAAAGCTGGACTTCTACTCGCTGGAGGTGCAGCTGCAGGAGCTGCTGCAATAGGTATGACGAACGGTTCATCACCACCAGCAGCAGCCAAGTGAACAGTATCACTTTTCGTAGCCCTTTTCTTTAGTCAACCCTGTACAGTATACTTTGACAATAGATTCTTTATGCACCGATGACGTATACTGAGGATAACTGCTATCCGTAGAGGTAAAGTGTCTCCATTTCCCGTCATTCGATGGCCCCAAGGCGTAAATCTTATTGATAGCCCCGAATGAAAGATTACTCATGAGCTTTAGCCCAACTTTACGCCTTTTGACAGCCGTATGTTGGAAAGCCCCAACAACGATGGACAAAAGATGAGTAGAATGAGTCACTTTTCTGGTAGAATGCTCGCCACAACTTTTAGCTCTTGACCAAATCATCGACGCTGGCGTTGACAAAAGAGAATATAAGGAAACCACACTCGAGATAAGCTTTTTCAAAAATGCATTTCTTCGCATTAACTTTGATCATTATCTTATTTGTAAACATCATAATGGCTTTGCCCACGAAAAGCGATGATGTTCTTTCTGAGCAATTTCAGAAGCGAAGTCCGGCAGGATCAGGGGCAGGATTGGCCGCAACAGCTATTGTTGGGGTTGCGGGTTTAGGTACTGCTGCATGGGCAGAGCACAAATATATGCAACGAACAGGCAATCCTGTTCCATCATCACTGCATCGTGTTGATTCATCAACATCTCGTGAACGAAGAGAACGTAAGAAAAACGGTCGTAATTGAAGTCTTCGCATAGCATTGCATCATTTGCGATGTGTATAAGGCGATGATCGTAAACAAACCCCGCATGAACCCCACAAAAAAAGTTATCCGAAGGAAGGCGTCAAATAAAATAAAGTATTTAAGAATTGAATAGCAACTACTTCTGCTCCTTCAGATCATATCTCCATCTTGTTCTCATTATACTCACAAACAATGCATCGATCATCCTTCCAAGCTTTGACAAACACATCCTTTTGGGTTATTGTGTGTTCACTGATCGTGATGACAGTGAATGCGTTACCTGCTGTTTACTCTTCACATCTTACCCTGCCCGACCATGCTCAGAAGCTGATTATGGCCGATGACAAGACGATTGAAAGAAAAGGTCCTCTTGGTCAAGGTATTCAATCGACTTCTCATTCTCGCTCGCATATCTTACCGATGATGATGGTGAACAAACGATCCATCAATACGGAAGCATCCATTGCAGCTTCAAGTGCTGCATCAAGCGCATCAAGAGAAGTTTATCAAATGGCAACCAGTCATGCAGCTGAAATGCAAGCACAAAAGTTATACAATGTAAAACAAGTAAGCGGTTTAGCAACAGTTGCAGGCTTAACAGGTATTGGCATAGGTTCAAGTGCACATGCTGGAATGAATAAAGTTCCAAAGCATGTTGCTGTACATCGATATCCTTCTCGTCGTACAAAGCATTGAAGATGCCATGGCGGTCTAGGTCAGTTGGAAAACCAAGTAAATACATCATCAGGGTGAAAGTATCGATCAATACTCCTGAATCAAGATCATCAAAGCCCGATTACATAGCCGTAAGCATAACCAATCGATAACATCCTAAAAGACCTCAATCAGCCAAAGCAGTATACAGTAACATGGATCAAGACTCACTAAAACAAGTCCAAAGACAATTTCTGTCTCCGTATCGAGTCGAAACAGAAATGACTCACCTCAATAAGGCAATCGACTATCTCAAGAGAGAAAGAGCGTCAGCATGGATTTGACAGAGATTTGTGTCTAAATATGATGCAATTATGTTTATAACATCTTGCTGTGTCTTTCATCTCTATAGATAAAAAGTGTATATAGTACAATGTACCTTATTGCACTTCTTTTACTGAATCGATTGTTATCACAACCATCATTATCCATTTGTTAGTCTTATCGTCGGTTCATTCGAAGTAGTTCTCACCATTCCTGCAGGCCTAGATTCATGCCCAAGTGGCAACAGGGGCGTACTCAAATGCACGGACATGTCCCCCCTGCCACATAAAAGTACGTCTTTAGTTGAATTAGACGTTCGTAGTGGAAAGATTGGCGCTGTGTTTGGTGGGTCGTAGAGTAGCGCTGGCGTTTGGTGTTCTTCAAAAGACGATGATGAAAGCAAAGATCAAAAGTGTGGCGACGAGAGCGATCGATCCAAAGAGTGGGTATATATAAGCAAAACCGATGATACTCTCACATTTCACTTACGCGGTCGACCTGCTTAATCACAGACGCTTCATTTCAGTACCTTTTCCCCTAATTCTGCCGATCGTGATATCGCAGAGCTCTGGCTTTCGAGAGGATTCTCACCAGATAAAAGAACAATGATTGGAATGCCCGAAGAAAGTCCAATCATGTGCTTTGATTCGTCTCAGCATAGCATGAAGTCAACCGAAAAGAACGATCGCACTTTATGGATCAGTGAATTAGGCGCAACTGTAGCAGGGATCTTTGATGTCGTCTACGCAAATTCTCCATCAAGTTCGAACGATTACCTTCAGCCGCTCTTGTTGCCGCATCCGAAGAGCACATTGAATGATATCTTCTCCCGGATAGGTGCAGGGTCGAAGTATTCAACTCACGGATTAGGAAGAATCGGTGATCGTTCTTCCAGGGAGTCGGTATTGGAAAGGAGCAAAGCAACTTATTTGGGCGTTTCCAACGGCCACCTGTTTGCAATGGGGAGCGATCAATATCCTCTGGTAGCCTTCTCTCCTCGAGCACCTGCAGGCATCGGTGCGAGCGATCATACTCATCACGATGATTTCAGGCATAGATCGTGCTCTGCTTCAGGCTGTTTGCTTGGCTCTTACGATTTGTAGGGGTATGCCTATGATGATCTGGGAGCTGATGAATTGCTTGGTCTTGGTCCGGGTCATGTTCCGCTTTTAGGAATCGAAGATGGCTTTACAAAGAACGGGCAAGAAACCTCTCGAACGGAAAGGCTCGAGAATCAGGTCCGAGCAAAAGAGCTGAAGGACGCATCATCTTCATGGTCCTCTCCTACCGTAGTGACCACGCAAATCGCTATCCTCTTCTTCTTTGCAGTTTTTTGTGGATTGTTGTACATCGGAAGTGTGGAATATAGACGACAAAGTGCTGTTGAGGTTGGCCAAATGGTGAAGAATATGGCCTGACAGCCTGTTCCTCATACCCACGTGTCGCCATCCGTTCTATCAATTGGCGGAAAAAAGGTAACCTTTACCGAGACAGCTCCTGACAAGCCGCTTACCAGTGAACAAGATCCCTTTTCAGAAGGTTCGAGCTCGGCCATCGATCAAAATGCCATTTCAAACACTACGTTGGGCGAAGCAAGTGTATCCGCCGCAACGAAAAGGCGAAGACGCGGAAAGAGAGCCGGCAATGCTGTTGCTCAACGTGAATCCAAAAAAGTGACAGAGAAGGAAGATGCGGTCGATGTTGAAAAAGATAGCGGAAGTGTGGATGGCAAAGAAAAGCATACCGCCGGTATGGGAAGCTCTGCGCTTCAAGAAGAAGAAGAGAAAACGTCCAAGTTGTCGAAAAGACAATTGCAAACGTTGCTGGCCCTGTCACCTTGGAAGCGGATGGAGGATCGAAAGTTGCTTTGAGCAACGGTTCGATGGGAGTCATCTGTGATCCGATGAATCGATCATTGATCATCTCTGATGAGATCCTGGGATATGGCTCCTCCGGCACGATCGTTTTCAAGGGGAATTTCCAAGGTCGTGCAGTAGCTGTAAAGAGGCTATTGAGAGATTTCGTTGATGTTGCGTCCAAGGAGGTCTCGTTGTTGGAGTCTGCTGACAATCATGCAAACGTAATCCGATACTTTTACAAAGAGGTGACCGATTCATTCTTGTATATCGCCTTGGAATTGTGCCCTGCAAATCTTGCCGAAGTTATTGAAAAGCCAAACGAGCATCAATCTTTGAGCGCCATTCTAAAACCGAAAAAGCACTCTCGCAAATTGCTTCAGGTTTACAGCACCTTCACTCCCTTTCAATCGTTCATCGTGATATCGAGCCTAAGACATCTTGGTTTCACAAACTTCAAAAGGGGAATTGAAGATGCTCTTGTCAGATTTTGGGCTTTCGAAAAGGCTCGACGGAGTTGCACAAATGAGCTTCAGTCAAACAGTAAACAATCCCGAAGGAACTTTTGGCTGGCGTGCTCCAGAGATCTTGCGTGGTGATGTCAACCTAGATGCAGGTGCTGATACGTGCGATAGTACTTCGTCCTTCACTTCCGTAAGCGATCAAGAAAACGGTGGCGAGTCAAAGCGTTCAGAAGATCGGAAACGATTGACAAGAGCAATCGACATCTTTGCATTAGGGTGCTTGATGTATTACGAATGGCGATCATCCATTTGGCTTACGCTTTGAGAGGGAGGTGAACATCTTGCGACGATAGATTGACCTTCAACGTTTGGATGGATTGGGAGAAGAGGGACATGAAGCTCAACGTTTGATCTGTGCAATGACCAAATATGAGCCTGAGCAAATGCCAGATGCCTTAAAGATTTTGTCGCATCCATACTTTTGTGACTCTTATCGTAGGTTATCCTTCTTGCAGGACGCAAGTGATCGATCTGATATTATGGAGCGTGATCCTCCAGTCGCTCCCCTCGTCCTCGTGACACTGGAGGCGAACGCAGTGGACATTGTTGGAAATGATTGGCATCGTCGATTGGATCGACAAGTGATGGAAGACTTGAACAAGAGAAGGAAGTATGACCCAAAAAGTATTGCCGCTCTCTTACGTGCAATTCGAAACAAGAAACATCACATACAGGACTTGCCCCATAACGTGAAGAAACTCTTCAAAATCGCAGGCAGTGGGACAGTGATGACTAGCATAGAAAGTGGTTATGCAAACTGCGGAATCGGGAATTCTGGCGCCAACATCACGTCACATCAAGTGCAATTGCTGCCGGATGGCTTCTTGGCCTACTTTACTTGCTGGATCGGGAAGCTGGTCGGAAGTATCAAGGAGACGAGCACTTTCATCATCGGTGCTAGAAACGTTGCCGCCATAGGCAGCGAAAACCAATCGTTCACCAGACTTAGCAAGAGCATGAGCTATACCTAACATCCATCTGAAATGTATCATGAAGTCGCTCATAAAGAGCTGGGTGCAATTGCAATGGAGGCTACATTAAAGCACTGTTACCCTTCTGTCCGCTCTTCGATGCATAAACTCTCATTGCGATTCAACCTCCTAACCGTTGGACAGTAATCTACACCATTCGAAGTCCAGGACATTGATTATCTGCTCTGCCTATGTGACATACGCAATAGTCGCATCTGCTAGCACATGGTCGCATGAATTACGAAAAGTCTGCAGAGTGGGTGCACCCAAGAGAGGTTCGCCTTGACTTTCCCTTTTCAAATTCATCCCACTTCCACCACCCACTTGCACACGCAGCTCTTCGCAAAAATGCGCCTCTTTGACTCTATTCTAAGCATTAATGTTTCCCTGGGCTGGATGAGAGCATCAGGCAAAAGTTCGACAGATGGTGAAGGGTTCTCTACTTTGAGATGCTACATAGATGATTATCTCCCCTTCTTTCCCAGCAGCAAGGAAAGCCTTCTTTCGTCAATATGACAGTTTCGAGCCTCAACATTGTTCAAGATGGTTTTACTTCGAATTCTTCCAGATTAGCGTTCGTGATAGGAATGATTAAGGCCCAAAAGAAGTACGGAAATGGTCAACCTTTACTCGTTTTCGCATCATGACCAAATCTCAAGATGAACCCACAATGTACAAGTCCAAATAGATAGTCAATGTCTGTCAGATGGACTTCCAATTGCGGTAGATACGATGTTGCTGTGACCCTATACAAAAGGAGACGAAGATTAGTGGATGTGCGGACAGTCTATCAGCAGGAATGGATCACACATGTTCTCTCAAATGGAGGTGAACTAAGGATGAAGGCTCCAAAAGGGTAGAAATAAACGATGGTGACGGTTTAACTAGCTTTCACAGTACTTAAATGTTGAATACGGGGAATAACAATTAGCTGTGATGGACGTGAGACATACAAGTCTACGGACTTTCACTTCCAAAGCAAGTTTCGGACTAAACAGATGAAGAAGAACAAAGTGTATAGAAGATAGCAGAAGAGCAGAGAAAGAGGAATAATGAGAGTTATGGAAAGGGAGCTGTGAGAGAAGCTTAAGCACAAAGACAGGCTAAAGAGGCACAGGAACGATTTGAAGATGGTGCCATCCTCTCACAGACCAGCTCCATCGAGAGGATATGCCATCAATTGGTTGGGCTACTGGACTTCATCTCGACCCCTTTTGCACAACTTTCGCCTGGCTATCAAGTGCCGAGGAGGACAAAAGGCCGTCATGCACAACGCGGTGGACAGCAAAACCAACTCATCAACGTCTATGGACCACTCAAATCGGGATGCAGGAACATAATCGTTGCTGTGAACGATTGTGGCCCGATCAGTCTTCTACGGTGCGTAGAAGATCAATTTGAGCAATGGCGTATCGCAGGAATCCAACGATAGGATCGATAGACTATATGCACAATCGTTGTACCATAACTCAACCGTTGTACTTGTAAAATGGATGTGAGCGAATCTGACATTGATCAGAGTGTAGCTGACTCTAGCTCTTCTGAAATGGAACGATTTGCTCGCATAGCTGCTGAAGAGGAAGAGGAGATTGAGATGCGCAATGCTTTCAATACGGCGCCCACAATGACGGATCA